CTAGGTGCAGCCCCTGGTTGGGCTCAGAGCCGGGCCGATTGGGGAGTTGGGGCGCCGCCCCGTCATGCACAGAGCAGGGCAGATTGGGAGGTTGTGATGCCACCCTCAGTCATGCTCAGGGTAGGGCCGATTGGGGGGTTGGGGCACCGTCCCCTGTCACACTCAAGGCAGGGTTGATGGGGAGGTTGCGGCGCCACCCCCTGTCATGCACAGAGCAGGGCCAATCAGGGGGTTGGGGCAATGCCCTCTATCACCCACAGAGCAGGGCCCATCAGGGGGTTGGGGCGCTGCCACTCTCACACTCAGGGCAGGGCCGATGGGGAGGTTATGGCTCTACCCCATCACACACAGAGCAGGGCCCATGGGGGGGGGGCGGTTGGGGAGCTCCCCCCTATCAGGCACAGAGCAGGGCTGCTCAGGGGTTTGGGGCCCCACCCCCTGTCACACACAGAGCCGCAGGGCGGTCAGGGCGTTTGGGCGCTGCCCCCTGTCACGCTGATCCCGGTGCCGGGAGGCATATTACCCTTTTACTATATAGGGTAGAGGCCTGGTGCATGGGTGGGGCCGGCTGGTTTGCCCTGAAGGGTGTCCTGGATCAGGGTGGGGGTCCCCACTGGGGTCCCTGGCCAGTCTGGGTGAGGGGCTGAGGGCTGTTTTCAGGCTGGGAGTGACTGAAGTTCCCAACCGCTCCTTTTTTTCTTTTCTTTTTCTTTTTTTTTTTTTTATTCTGGGCCAGCTTTACCTTGAGGCTTGGCTCCAGCTCTTAGGCCTCCGCAGCTGACAGTAGGTTTCTGGCCTTTGCCTACAATGTTGCGAATCTGCTGGCTGAAGTCCAGCGGTATTTGTTACAATGTTTCTTAAACTGCCGGCTCAGAGGCCTGCAGCCGCAGGCGGGGAACGTTGGTTTCCTCCAACGATCCTCCATCACTGAGGCAAGCAAGCCTCATGTTAGTTTCAAGCTGCCTGGCTGCCGGCCGCCATCTTGGCTGACAGTTAATTTGCATATCTCGCTGATTAGCCAATGAAAAGGGTAGCGGTCGTACGCCAATTACCATGTTTCTCTTTTATTAGTGTAGATTCATTAGAAATATGGTCTTCCCCCCTGCCACCTTTGTGATATCTTTGTGTGGTGTTGGTATCAGGAAATACTAGCCTAGTTGAATGAGTTGGGAAATATTATCTCCTATTCTGTTTTTTTTTGTGTTTTTTTTAGAGAGTTTCTAAAAAATTGATATATTTTTTAAAATGTTTGGTAGAATTTGCCAGTGAAGCTATCTAGGCCTAGGTGCTTATTTGTTTGTTGTTTTTAAAATTAATATTCAATTTTTATACTTGTTAAGTCTAGTCAATTTTTCTATTTCTTCCTGAGTCAATTTTTGGTAGCTTGTGTCTTCCTTGTGTCTTATGTCTAAAATTTGCCTGTTTACCTTAGTTAACTAACTTATTGGCATGTAGTTGTTAATGGATTTCCTTTGTAATTCTTTTTACTTCTAAAGTAATCTTTTTTTACATGAAATATTCCCAACTCACAGAAGTCAACTGCCAGTAAAGAAATGTTAATGTAAGAAATTAAATAAAATAATCAATGTTAACGGAATAATCAGTGTTAAAATAATCAATGTTACTTTACACCCTCCACAATCTATTCCTTTTCTTTCCAGAAGTATTGTGAATCTTGCTATTGATGTGAATCCTTACCACCCGCTTTTATACTTTGCATCATCATGTATAGACAAATGCACAGCATTAGCGTTTTAAAATGTTACTTGAATTATGTAGGCTTCATGCTGTGCTTTCCTTTCCCTCAGCATTTCATTTCCAGGTTCTTGTACATTGTCATATTGGATTTAGTTCCTTTATGTTGATGGCTATGTTTAAACCGTCTCCCAATGAAAGGCAGATGGGCTGTTTTCAATGTAAATTAGTGTTAGTTCTTGCAAGTGATTGCCCGTGTGCATGTGTGTTTCTCAAGGGTATGTACCAAAAAAGGTTGAGTTTCTGAGTCACAGAATTTATATTTTCAACTTTGCTAGATATTGTAAAATTGCTCAGTGACTCTTGGGCTTTCAGATGCACTCAGGTGGCCACTGAAGCCCCAGGCTAGACGGGCAGTGTTTCATAATGAGTCCTTGTGTGTGGCCTGCTCAGCGGGCTTCCTTCGTTCACGGTGCCCCAGTCTTGTAACCCAGGTTCTGGTAAGAGTTAAGCCAGTAAAAGCTGTAACACTGATGCACTTAACCATGATGCAGTTACTTTTTAAAACCTGTGAGATTGAGGAGGCTGGAGAGACCCAGTTGGGGTGAACTTCAGGATGGACGTGAATAAGTCAGCCAGTCAGTTGAACTGGTATTTGAATGAAGACGGAGAGTTTTATGTACTGAGTCTACAGAAATGTCTGGGTTTCGGTGTGTCAGAGCTGGGTCTAAAGTTTACACTCTTCTTCCTTTGTAATTTCAAGCCAGTCATTTCCCTCTCTGTCCTTAGTTGCCACATCTAACATGGGGATGATAAAGGAGTCCCGAGTTCATAGACTGATAACTAAATGAGGTTATGCATATAAAGTGTTTGGCACAGGGCCTGGCATCATCTTGCTGCTATTCTGTCATTCTGCCTCCAGTTTCCTTCCTGTCCCTTGGTGCTGTGTACCAGGGGTGTGGAGGGGAGGGCAAGCAGCACTGGGTCACAGCACCTGTTTTCCTTGGTCTTCCCGTTGTAGCTTCTGTTTCTCTAGTGAATGTGATGTCCTGGCTCACTTTCCAAGTTGCTTAACAGACAACTGAAGAAAACAAGGGTACTTGTTTAAATAGCTTTGCAGACCTTTCCTCCTGCTTAAAGAAGTATTGTAACAAAACCACTGCAGCCTCACAGAAATCTGTGTGCAGACAGCTGCGTTTACCGTTCTGCTTAGTGTGACCTGGACTCCATCCAGCTGTGGGTGAGAAAACAGGCATATATTTGAGCCTCTGATGGGAAATACTTGATATTCTCAGGTATCAACCTGGGTAAAAACCCCTCCCTCTTCACCATCAATCAAAAACTTCAGCTTTGGCTCAGCCGGCGTGGCTCAGTGGTTGAGCATCGATCTATGAACCAGGAGGTCACGGCTCAATCCCCGGTCAGGGACATGCCCGGGTTGTGGGCTCAATCCCCAGTAGGAGTCGTGCAGGAGGCAGCCAATCCATGATTCTCTCTCATCATTGATGTTTCTCTCCCACACTCCTCCCTTACTCTTTGAAATCAATAAAAATATATTAAAAAAACATCAGCCTTGGGCAGGACAGTGCCAGCATTTGGATGCATGTGTCTCCTGTCTCTGCAGCACGGCGGGAGTGAGGACGCGGGAGTTACCACCTGTGGGGCCACATGCAGCGGTTCCGTCACCGTCATATCTGAGAGGAATTACAAAAGCTGATGCATGTCCCTGTTTTTTGTCTAGTTATACAATAATGGGTAGTTTTAATAACTTGTCATAAAATGAGCAGGAGAGATAGCCAGGATGTTAGGATGAGGTTTCTTTCTGAAAGTTACTGCCCATCAGAAATGGAAGATAAGCTATTTGTAGAAGGGGGTGAAGGAATGGTGATTTAGGTGACTTGGGGGAATCTTCAGGATTATGTGACACATGAAATTGTTCGTGACATTTAGTTTACATCTGTCCTGAAGTTGGTCTTGTGTTTTATTGTAATGTGGCCCAGCTGTCATTCATTTCAGCTATCACTAAGTGTGTGGGTGTCTGCATTTACAAATGCTTTGGTATTCACCTCAATTCTAGAGCAAATTGCTGTTATAAAGGTGCAAATGATGACTATGTCCAATATCTGAAAAGCTTTCGAAGGCCCTGTATTACCCAATGCAAACAGTTATCTATGGGTGACTCTAAGCCCCCAAGAACTGGGGTCCTTGAATGTGCGCCTGTCTCCACGTTTCCAGACAGTGTCTCAGCGCTTCCTGCGTGGATTGTCCTGCGACCACACTCCGGATCCGCCAGCGGCCTGGCGAGCAGGGCCTCACCTCGACCACCATCTCTCGTTAACTTGGACCTCTCCCAGGCTGCTTTCTCTGCTTGGAATGTCCTCTCCATGTTCCAACACCGTCTCTTCCTGGTCAGTCCCTTTCTGAGCGCCCGTCGGCATAATTTTCTCACCTCAAGGACAGGGTCTTGGCTGGGTAATAAGTGATGTTACAAATGTTTTGGCAACTTGAAAGCATCATCCACGTACTGGTCTGGTGAGGCCGTTATCTTGGCCTCTCAATGTCATGAATAATGAACATTTTGTTGTATTTAGGCAATCAGTGATCTTTTCTCTCTTCCTATGGTTGATACAACACCCATTTTCCTAATCAGATATTGATAATGAAAGTTGTCAATCAAGTTTACTCACCATTTTATTTCATCAAAGCAAGGAGGAAAATGCGAAGCTGTCCTCCTCAAAACTATTTTAACCATGGGGTTTTGGGTTGAAAATTAAATGTGTGTGTCTCCTGTCTCTGCAAAATTATCTTACCAAAATAATACTGAATTCTAAAGACCTTTTTATATGCTCTATAAAAACACCTCACATAGTTGCTTTGAAACTTGGCCAAATTGAAAGATTATCGGGGTCTTCCAGGAATTTCGTTGGAGCTGCAGTTATTACTATCAGAGCGTGAGCCAGTCTTCACCGTGCATGTGTATCTATCAACCCCCGGGGGAACTACATATTTATCACACCTTTTGTCCAGTGCTTCCTTATGATGAGGAAGAAAGAACATGATTTTGGTGTAAATCTTGTCAGGTTCCAGTTCAGCTACTACCTGTTTTCTAGTCTGCATCGCTGGGCCTGGGGGAGGGTTGCTCACTTGATGTGTGATCTACAAAATCCGCCCGATGAGTCCACTTCTGTGGTGACCGTCTGCTGTGACATGTGTCCTAAACTTGGTGTCTCCATCTCCCACCCTCAGGCCACAGTGGCTCTCCTCACCCATAGGGTGGCCTTTTCTCTGCATCGCAAGAATCTTAGTACATCAAAATGTTTTTTATTTGAGACACAAAAATGCAAAATTGCTGAGATATCAAACATTTTCTGATCCGCTACAATACTGCCACTATGTACAAAAGATCTGATGATAAATGTGCACACATATAAAAATACAGTATGCATTACCTATGTACAGTACATGTGCAAAACATATGGCATTCAAACATGATATGGAATTGATTTCAGGGGTGCAAACAGCAAATACAAAGGCATCATGGCTTTTCTTTTAAAAAAACAACATAAAGGCAATACATGAATGGACCCCCGATTGCCATAATTTTTTGTTTCTTAAATGAGTGCTTTAATAAGCAGGGCTCTGTAGATTGGTATTTTCTCTCTCTTTTTTTTTTCCCATAAAGTGAGATGCTAAGACATAATGTGACAATGAAAGTAAGAGAAACACCTATCACGTTGCAGTTCTATTGAAGCAAGAAAAGAAAACTAAGTTGTACGTAGAAAGGAAAAAACTTTGTATTACTACTAAATATGTACTATCCTAAACCAACAAAACAAATCTATTCTATTTTACATGAAAACGACAGAGAAATATCTACACCTCTGAAAATTATAACCTTAAATGGATAATACATTTTTGGGACTGATTTTTGAGATCTCATTAGTCTCAAATTTTAAATAAAAAGTGCCTCCTTTTGGCAAATACTTGGCAATGCCTTTGGTTCCTTTAAAGCAAGTTTGCATTACTACTGGTTACTTGAGGTTAAGTACTTTTGGTAAATACTAAACCCTTTCCTAAATGCTTCTTCCTCCTACCAAATCAGCAACTTTTCTTAGAGCGTAATGTAGAGAGGTAATTGTTACAAGTCTCGGTGATTCATGAACTTGGTTAAAGCTTCGACTTAGTAGTTGGCACAAAGCTCTGTTAAACACGACAGCTGTGTTGATATCGCCCCTGACAAATTTTATCTGATTCCAGACAGCACCTTGTAGATCTGAGATTGCCATCCTGTTGTCACAAGACTGTGACATTTTTTTCAATAACGATTCACAGAGCAATGTGTTCATGTGGAGGGTTAGAGTGCTTTTGTAAACATGTGCAGCTTTTTAAATTACAGGCCGCGAATCAAAGATTTCTGGTAGAAACCCTTTGCAATGATGCATTCCCTCGAATGCTGACAGAAGGGTGAGCAGGGAAGAACATACATTGCCATGCAGACAGTCACTTCACACGTAAAAATGTAGCCTGGAAAGATCACTGAGCAAGATCTCCGAAGTTTGAGAAGGAATTAATACATCTGAATTATTTTCCAGTTTTGACTGAAGCCACTTGTAAAAGATGAGCTGAAATGCAATTAGGATGCTCTCCAAACACACATGTCCGCACTGGTAAGCTGTGTTTCTTGATAAACCTGACCTTCCAGTTAATGTTTTTGGTAATTTGGGCTAACTCTGTGGCCTGAAGGGCAGTGGACAGTCCCTTTGGTATTCTGCTCTGCTGCCCGTAGCCAGGATTCATGTTTTTGGTGATGGATGGAAAAATGGAGGGTTATTGTGAATGTGGTTAAATGGACCCGTGCTGCTCGGCTGGTAGACTCCTGATGACTATTCTCCCTAAAGTTCTCTGAAAGTCCCCAGTGGTGCTGGGTGCTCCCCCCCTGACTGACAGCAACTTGGGTGAGGCTTGCCACCAGGGGGCCCCTGGGAACAGCGTGGTGTGCACTGGGTGCTGCCAGAAAGCTTTACCACTTCCCTCCGGCCACTGTGTTGCGGACAGTAGAGGGACTGTCCCATCACTTGGGACAGCTGTCTTGTCAGCTGTTGTGGCCGGCCGGTGGGAATTCTGAAAGGATGAAGCAGGCTGTGTGACCTGGAATGATCTGGGGTTGAGGGTGAGGAGGCCTGCGTCAGCTCTGGTGACAGAATGGGTGACATGCTCCTGACACAGCTCTCAGTTGCTATCTTATTACCTTCACTTTGCTTACAAGAGGCGGCGGTGTGGAGGCAAAACCAGACTGCCTTGGCCACTATTCTTAAACGGCACTTACAAAAGTGTCAGTTACATGGGTCACAGGACTGTGCAGTTTTTAAAAAGGAAATTTAAATAAGATCTCTTTAGTATTATAAAAATATTCATATAAAACAAGCACAAATAGTATCTGAATGAGAAATTCTATGAATTCAGAATACATCTGTGTACAAATACGTGGCAAGTACTATACAGTAGATTGCACATTTCAGGAAAAACACTAGAACTTGAACCACTAACACTGTCCCTAGTTTTCTAGCACATGCTTTGCTGAAATGTACAAGATGACCACACACTCTAGACTCCCAAGACTGTGTAAGCAGCTTTGGCATAACGTCTGTGCATCCCACCCCCAGGACATGACTGCATACCTATATACACCAGAACGGTAACTTGATACTACTGTGTTTCAGGAATATTTAGGGAAATAAGACTGGATGTGAGAGAATACATTTCTAGGAGTTGTTTTCTTGGCAATAGGATATTCTGCAAGATGATCTACAGCAGTACCTGTAGCAGTACCTCCTCTAAACTACATATCTGCAGACGAAAACCCAACCGGCTGTTCTGACTTGGGCTTTAACCCTCACCTCAAACAACACAAACAGTCCTCTTTAACACACACCTTTCCCCCTGCATTTACCCCTGAGTACAGTGAGTTGGGGCAGAGGAGCCTTGATTAGAAGGTCATCTTTGGTCATGTCACATGCTGCACACGCTCTGTGTCCTCCCTCTAGCCTGGAACATGTAGCTGGGACCCTACAGATGCCCAGCTTGCTGCTCAGGCCAGGAGGGCCCAGCGGAATGGTGTGAGTAGGTGGCTGGTAGACTTAATAACTGGACTCCTTGCCTTCCTTCCTCCTAAATGAAATGCTGGTATGTGAAGAAGTGAACACAGATGTAAAGTGGGCACATTAGCAACACAGTCCAAAGAGAGGAGGCTAATGAGGCGGCATTCTTTGCACTGCATGTTTGGAGAGCAGCCTTCAACAGGGGGCTAGGAAACGATCTAAGCTCACAGCTTGGAAAGATGGAAACACAAAGTTCTTCAGCGAGTCGGCAGCACTAGCTGTTCAGTTGCCTTCTACAGTCCCGTTGATGTCTGGTGCTAATAAGCCATTTAAATCTGAATAAAGATGATGCTTAGAGTCCAAGTATGGACCAGATAAGCTCCAGACAAAAACCCATCTCAAAGACTTGCCCAAAGAAAGTACCTTTCTGAGTCCACAGCCCTGCCCCGGAGACAGGCCCTTCTGAAAGGAGTGACTCGAAGATGCACGCTGTGCCCACGACGGTGACGGTGACACTCCTGCGGGGTTTGGTCAGACAGCAGCACGCCAATTTCTAACAAACTACTCACCGCAGACTACACTGCGCCTACCGCCTCTGCCCGGAACCATTCAGACGCACTTCAGGCTGGGAAGGGCCAGTTAACAGAGGGCTCCAGGGTCCTGGGCGACTGAGTTCTGGAAAAACCGACTTTTCTTATATGTAGTGAAATTTACAAACTGAAATAAAAATTTGAAATAAGATCAGCTCTTAGGCAAAACACAAACCCAGAAATGATTCGCAAATTCTTTCCAAATAATGGGCCAGGTTGCCTCTACATGTCACCGTGGGAACAGTCACCAATGACCCAGAGAGCATCTTGACCCCAGGGCTCACACAGGGGAGGTGGAGAGCACGAGTATTATTTAATGAAAACCTCCACACTTTTTGGTAGATTTCAGTTTTTTTTTTCAGTTTTATACATTTTGTCATATACTTAAATGACTATTTTGAAATCATTTTAGAAATCCTGTGATAGTTGGCATTTTAGAAAAATCTTAAGAAACTACTCAACAAATGTGATAACTTTTTGTCTATATAAAAAATGAATAAAACCTCCAGTTTTTCAATCTTCGGCTTGAAAATATAGTGAGAGCTCAGGTATGACATCCAGTTCCGAAACTGTAAAGCAATGACAGGATGAGCTGCTGAAGAGGCAGCCAGAGCGGAAGTCCAGAGGCCAACTCGGCGACAGGCTCACCTGTAACCGGGTGGGAATGTCTGGGAACGACAGACTCCTCCCTTGCCTTTGCTTTGCAACTCACCAGCTCAGAAAGATATTTTACACTAAAGCCTTTTCTTGGTTCTTTGAGATGGGTCTGGTTACCTGAAAGTTATTTTTTAAAATACAGAAATACATGTGTCTCAAGTACTCTAGAAATATGTGACTTATTAAAAGAAGTAGGGCCACTGGATACCCAATTCCTTATCCCCACGTAGGCTGTACAAATCCCAACATAGCACAAATATATGTCTAATTTACACGTTAAGTCAATCTAACCAATCCAGAGGATTGCTAGCAGAATTTTCAGTGTTACCAATAGACCCAGACTTTTTACAGGGGATTGTTTATGAAGTATTTTGAAGACATTGTCTGGTTATAGTGAAAGAACTTTCATTTACATTTGGAAATCTAAAGTAAGATTCCAAAAATCACAAAATAAACTACAACACAAAAATATTACATTGGTTTCTGAATGGAACCAAAAGTCTTCAGCTGGAAGCCTTCGCCGCCTGGCTGGTGCGCTCCGCTGCCCTTGATCCCTGCTGCGCCTTGGGCCGGCTCGGGCCCCGCTAGAAATACGGGTGCGGTGGTCCCTCACCACCCTCACACGAGCGTTCTTGTTTGAGTGGAGCTGTCTGCCTTGTGTTTAGGGCCTGAAAGTGACCACAGAGGTTTAAATGTAGCTGATTACCAGAGAATCTGCATGTCGTTATCCTGCACACATTACTCTATGTTTTTATCTAAAGGTGCTTTTTATTCTTTACTGAAGTCTGGAGAAACAGAGGTCTTCTTTGACTAGTGGTTTTTCAGAAGGCCCTGTGCTATATTAAACGGCAGACATTCACTGCTGGGTGCAATGAAACGTTCTCAAGCTTGGTTTCCAGGCTGTGACCATCTATTCGTTTTTTTCTGTGACAACATGTTTTCATTGCAATGATGCAACTATAGATCTGTCTCTAAAAACTGACCTTTTAGAATCGTCTTCTTAAACCTCGTGAACTTGGATGAGAAATCTGTGGTGTTAGTCCCATGGCAACGGCAGGTCTTGGGGGTCTAGAAAGTCAGCAGAGAACATGCTTGGGGCAGTGGCGCTGAGGGGAGTGAGTCCCGACGACGTGTTAGGCATGGTGATGTCCAACCACTCCATGTTGTCCAGGTTTGAGTCAGAGAGGTCGAGTGACAGACAGGGAGTACTCGCGGCAAACTGGGCCTCGGCGGTTTCCATGGGCGAGTGTGAGGGGTCCAGCATGCTCGAGTGGCTCAGCAGGTCGTTCTGGAGGTCCTCGATCAGGGAGAAGGGCTCTCGGTCCTCGCTGCTGCTTGGTAGTGGGGTAATTTCATTGGCTGAAGGTAAAGTCCCATCCAAGAAAGCTTCCAGTTGGTTCTCTAAGCTGGCAGATAAACTGCTCAGAGGTTCTAAGGATATGGGCGGTGCCATTTGGACTTGGGGCGGTGGCCGGGACACCACTGTGTTGACTGGCATTGTGGTGATGCTGGCTGTCACTGGTCTCATTTTGGAAATAGGAGAAGGCTCTTCCTTTATAGGGAGGGAAATTTCTGTGCAAAATAAATAATTAGTAAGTAAACATTTCCTACTATGTACATTTTTTATTAATTACGGAGTTATTTTACTATTTTGTGACGCCTTAATACACAGCCCATCTCAGAAGTAGGAAGAGAATGCTATTGGCCCCTGATGACCTTTAGGAAGATGGATCATTTTAGTTAAACATTTACGTTATAGCATTCTGACATGCTTTCAGTTCCTTTTAGTAAGAGTAAGCATTAAAAGCAATTACATCCCACCAAGTAGGATGATGTTTTTAGATGATCTGATCATTGGGTCCCATCTTCAGGCACTGTAGGTTTAAGATAGGGCTCATGTCTTACTCTGTACCACAAATCTGCGATCACAGCAGCACACTACCCTAAAGTGAATGTGAAAATGCGGGCCCTGCTTAATGAATGATCTAACTATATTTGTTCTTTTTTATCATTATATTTGAACTATGTGTCCAGTTTAGCCATATCCATTCTATATAAAGTTCTGGAAAGATACAATGCCATCGTATGACCTGATTTAAGATGAGGTGGGCGACCTTATGTGTCTTGTTTTTTTCAGTTTATATAAAATCTTGAGGATTTGGTAAATGTCTTAAGAAGCACTAATTATATGTTACTCCTTGCCAGATCATGTCGAAAATTAACGGACCAGTGTTCACTTAGCTCATATAAGAGAGTGAAAAAGATACTTTAAAAATATATATGAGAATCTGACTTGATTTCATTTATATACAATACACTAAACATTTTACTTAACAGCTCTTCCAACTCAGTGACTAGGCTGCGTAAATAGGTGAGACAACACTGAAGATTCCTCTCAGCTGTGTGTGTTTCAGGACAGTTCACTTCTCATGACCTGTGAGTCATCTCTAGAATTGTTTTGAAAGCTCAAAGTGCAATTTATACTTTTAAGTTCAACTAGTCTTATAATCAACTACTTAAATCTCTCATTATTACTAGTATTAGTTTATAATAAGATGAAATAATATACTCTATTAGATACTTTGCCATAAAAAATCATTTCTTTTAGAATATAACTCATTTCTAAGTTTAGGCTGTAAAATTATTCTTTTTAATCACTAAAAAAAGTATTTTAACCAGATTTGGCAAAAAGCATTTTTAAAATTTTAAATTCAAGGCATGGAATATATGTTTCTCGAATTTCCATAGTTTAGCTATATCATGAGTTTAAACAATTTTGTGAGGCCGATATAGTTATTCGCAAAAAAAAAAATGCTATTCACATATGTAGATCTGCTGTCAAATATCAAGAATTTTCTATATTATGTCAAACACTCTGACAAGATCATTAACAACAAAATCAAATAGTACCTGGCATGAGTGGAGAAATTTTGATAACTATTTAAAAATCTGAATAAAACTTCCTTCACTGGTAAATTTAAGACTACTTTAAAATATTCTAAAATAGCATTTGAATTTTTGAAGTACTTATAAACTGAGGCAGAGAAATACTTGATTTTTTTGTGTGGTTCATATCCCTTACCCCTTTTTAAGATGACACATTGTAAAATTGAAGATTTTCATTTATATGTAGGAAGTGTTTTAGAATTGCCTTTTAATATTAATCAAGTTATTAGACCCTAAGGTAGGTGACTTGGTTGTTACAAAATTAACTCATGAACTGGAATATTTTTATCCCATTGCAATGACTGATAACACATGGAGCAAGTTTTAAAGTTTTCAATGTGGAATTTATATCTGTCTACTTGGCTATTTTGAGATGGTTTGTCTTTTTCAGCCCGTATATATCTGTGGGTACATCTAATGTTATCTTAGTATTTTAACCTGAAACAATGGCCTTCCCCCATTCATAAGTAAGTTGTATTAATGGCCTAAATGTAACAGATTTTAAAACAGGAAATGCAGTTAGAAGACTATGTAAGCTCTAGAGGAAAACTTTCATATCCTGTGATAAGGGATTGGGGGTTCTGATGTGACTTTTCACCTACCTCCACTCTTAATGAGGATATCAAAGAGGTCGTCCATCTGCTGACTGTGTGCATTGGAAACCTACAACCAAGGAGAATATAAATTAGCTTTCTTTCATGCAAACCAGGAAGTGTTATACAACTGGGAGCACCAAAGGACCTTACGGAGCAGCTAGTTCTAATCAATCACTTGATCATTTTGAAAACACTGAGGTCCCCTGAGAAGTTAAACCATTCTCCCAGGTGTTACAGCTGGTGAGCTGACAGAGCAAGAATGGGGCTGATACCAGCTCAGATGACTTTTACACACTGAGTGCATTTCGAGAGGTTTCTCATATTTTAAAAAATGTTTTAACTCACTTGCTTATATTCTGATAAAAATATAAAGTATGTATAAAGGTGACCATCTATATTTTCAGCTTTATTGAGAGTAAATTAACATACAATAACCTGAAGTTATATGAATTATACAATTCTATAAGTTTTGAAACATGTACACATCAGCAAAATCAAGATAATGAATATTCTATTGCTCCTAGCTTCCTCATGCTTCTTTGTGATAGCACCTCCTTCATCCCTAGGCGACAATGACTTGATTTCTCCCATTACAGATTAACTTACATGTCTAGAGTTTTATAGAAATGGACTCATATAGTGTGTACTCTTTTTACTAGTAGAGGGGGTGGCTTCTTTACTCAATAGGAATTTGAGGTTTATCCATGTTGTAGATTATACCTTAGGAATAGTTCATTCCTTTTTATCGCTGAGAAGTTTTTTATTTTAAGAAACAGAAATCTGATTGGGTTGTTCCTACATTTTGGCTACTACAGATAAAGTTGCTATGAACATTTGTGTACAGGTCTCTGTATTTGTGTGTAAATACCGAGGAGTAGAATGACTGGATCATAGGGTAGGTGTGTGTTTAACTTTTTAAGAAATGGCTGTTTTCCAAAGCAGTTGCACATTTTACATTTCCACTAGCAATGTACGAGATTTCCAGTAGCTCTTCATTCTCCTCAACACTTGGTACAGTCAGTCACTTTAATTTTAGACAGCTAATGGGCCTGTAGTGGTATTGCATCGTGGAGTTAATGTGCATTTCCTAATGACTTGATGTTGCATCTTTTCATGTGCTTCTCTGCCATCTGTGTATCTTTCTTTGGTGATGTGTCTGTTCAAATCCTTTGCCTATTCCAGACTTCTTATGCTTACTGTTTTCATGGTATATGTTTTTTGAACCATTTATTTTTAACTTGTGTCTTTATATTTAAAGTATGCTTCTTGTAGATGCACACATTAGTTATCTATTACTCTATTATAAAACTTCTAAAACACTTCGTGGCTTAAAATGCTAGACAGTTATTATCTCGCAGTTTCTGAGTCAGGAATTTAGGATTGGTGTAGATGGGTAGCTCTGGTTTGGGGTCTTTCATGAGATTGTAGTCAAGATGTTGGCCAGGTTACAGCGATCTCCAGGCTTGGCTGGAGAATGTTAATTTTGTTTGTGTATCTACAATGTTGAAGGCAGTTTATTTATTCCTAAATGGGAACTTTTTTATACTTCAAGAATGATTTTAAATATAATAATGTAACATGCAATAAACATAAATATCTCACAAAAAACTATTTTAAACATAATGTTACATGCAGTGAACACCAATTCAAGAAAAATGATCTTAAATATAATATTACATGCAATAAACAATATTTTAGGAAAAAAGGATTCTAAGTATAATAATATTACCAACACTGTACTAACATAGTATGATATCACAAAAGTTGTAGGAAATATTAAAAATCTGCAAATAACAGGATTACTTCTATTATATTCTAAAATATTATTTTTCCCCCTCTGGCTCTATTTTTGTTCATCAGTTTATATTGTTCATTATATTCCACAAATGAGTAAGATCATGTGATATTTATCTTTCTCTGACTGACTTATTTCACTTAGCATAATGCTCTCCAGCTCCATCCATGCTGTTGCAAATGGGAGGAGTTCCTTCTTTTTTATAGCAGCTTAGTATTCCATTGTGTAGATGTACCACAGTTTTCTAATCCATTCATCTGCTGGTGGGCACTTAGGCTGTTTCCAAATCTTAGCTATTGTAAATTGTGCTGCTATGAACATAGGGATGCACATATCCTTTCTGATTGGTGTTTCTGTTTTCTTGGGATATATTCCTAGAAGTGGGATCACGGGGTCAAATGGGAGTTGCATTTTTAATTTTTTGAGGGAACTCCATACTGTTTTCCACAGTGGCTGCACCACTCTGCATTCCCACCAGCAGTGCAAGAGGGTTCCTTTTTCTCTGCATCCTCGCCAGCACTTGTTGTTTGTTGATGATAGCCATTCTGACAGGTGTGAGATGGTACCTCATTGTCATTTTGATTTGCATCTCTTGGATGATTAGTGACTTTGAGCATGTTTTCATATATCTCTTGGCCTTCTTTATGTCCTCTTTCGAAAAGTGTCTATTTAGGACCCTTGCCCATTTTTTTATTGGATTGTTTAAGTTGTATGAGTTGGAGAATGTTCTTGTAAAGGTGGCTCATTACATGACTGGCACTGGTGCTGGTTGTTGACAGGGGCAGGGGTGTAGGGGCTTTAATTCCTGTCCCCAGGGTCTCACAGCTCACATTCCCCCACAGCCAGCAGTCCAAGAGAGAGCAAGGCAGGAGGAGTATGCCTTTTATCACTTTGTTTAGGAAGTCACACACCATCACTTCTGCCAATTCTATTCCTTAGAAGCTGGTCACTAAGTCCAAACTAGGGAGTAATACCTAAGAATTTGTAGACATATCTTAAAACTATGACACAGCATATAGTTGGTTCTGTTTTCTTTTTTCATCCATTCTGATAATCTCTACAATTGTTTTCTCTACTAATGTGTCTTGTGTAATCATTGATATGGTTAAGTTTACCATTGTCTTGTTTCTATTTATCCTGTTTTCTGTTCCTCCTTTCCTGTCCTTTTACAATTTTATTTTTATTTTTTAAAAGCTATACTTCTTAACTGTTATCTATACAATATACATTCTTAATTTTTCATAGGCTAAGTGTCCGTTTGACCAGTTGCTATGATGCACACTAACCACCAGGGGGCAGACTAAGATGGCTGCAGCCACGGAGCTGGAGCGAGCAGGAGGCTTGGGTTGCCCCTGGCGATGGAGGAAGCCAAGCTTCCCGCCTGCCCTGGCCAGCCCTTAGCTCTGCTCAAGGCTACAAAGTTTTAATTATAGAAGATAAATAAATACCAGAAAAAGAAAAAAAGAAGCAAAAAAGGAGAGGCTAGGAGCTTGGGTCGCCGGGGGGCGTGGCCAGCCTGAAAAGAGCCCTCAGCCCCTCACCCAGGCTGGCCACACCCCCATGGGGTGAGGGTCCCCACTGGGGGGCTTGACCAACCTGCAAACAGCCATCAGCCCCTCACCCAGGCTGGCTAGGCACCCCAGCAGGACCCGCACCCTGATCCGGGACACCTTTCAGGATAAACCAGCCGGCCCCCACCATGCACCAGGCCTCTATCCTATAATATAACAGGGTAATGTGCAAATTGACCCTAAGAGCAGAACGACTGGGAATGACTGGTCACTATGACACACACTGACCACCAGAGGGCAGACACTCAATGCAGGAGCTGCCCTCTGGTGGTCAGTATGCTCCCACAGGGGGAGCTCTGCTCAGCCACAAGCCAGGCTGATGGCTGCCAACACAGACATGGTGGCGGGAGCCTTTCCCGCCTCCTCAGCAGCGCTAAGGATGTCCAACTGCAGCTTAGGCATGCTCCCCGTTGGCAAGTGGACATCCCCCGAGGGCTCCCGGGCTGCCAGAGGGATGTCTGACTGCCAGCTTAGGCCCGATCCCCTGGGGAGCGGGCCTAAGTCAGCAGATGGACACCCCCCAAGGGGTCCCAGAGTGCAAGAGGGCACAGGCTGGGCTGAGGGACCCCCTACCCCCAGTGCACAAATTTTTGTGCACTGGGCCTCTAGTATATATATAAAAAGCTAATATGTAAGTGTCTGACTGTCTGGGTAATGACATCACGTAGCAATGCCCGGCTTCCTCTCCCTAGCAACTAGCCTCCTTGCAGTTTCTTCAGCCCAGGAACATGACTTGCTCATAGTCAGCGGATAGCAAAGGTCAATGCTTACCTTGAGCCAGCCCTGTCCATTGTTTTTATGCATCTAAGATAACTGATCAGAGCAATTTTCTTTTCCTCCTAAAGGCACAACCACTGGCACAAGACCATGGAATCCCTCTTGTTCCCTGCATACAATCTCTGTGTGCTGTAAAAGAGGTATGTGTTTCTCTATATAATTTCTCTCGCCTCCTTAATCTACCTACAGTGGATTTCAGGTAACCCTTCTTAATTCTTGTCCGTTGATTCTAATCCTATATAATAAAAGAGAAACATGTAAATTGACTGTCCCTCCGCTACGCTCACCAGCCAATCAGGAGAGTATGCAAATTAACCTGACAAAGATGGCGGGTTAATTTGCATACACAGGTGCTGAGTGGCCAGGGTCCCGGGGACATCCTTGGGACCCAGGCCGCTCCTAGCCTGTAGGCCCGTGCATAGGCCCTGAGCAGCCGGGGTCCCAGAACACCTCTGGCCACTCTGGGCCTCTTGGTGCAGGCGCCAAGCAGATGTTCCCGCCCCGTGGCCGCTTGGGCATGCGCTGGTACCAAGCGGTGGCCCACACTCCCTAGCCCAGTGCCCATCACAGGGTGAATAGGCCAGGCCACGTCTCCCCGTGATCCCAGGCGAAGAAGCCACTCTGCTGACCAGCCTGCACTATGGACCTGTTCGGGTGGGTGGTAAGAAGTCCGGGGCCTCTAGCCTGCAGCCACAGGAAGTCTCCCTCTCCCCAGAGTTAGGAGCACCAGCCCAGGTCCACCCAGCGCCCAGTCCTGACTGCAGGGGTGAGTTTCTGCAGGCTGGGTTTGATCCCTAGGCATTAGCAGTAGGCGACCAGTGCCTTTGTTATTGCTGTGTGTCCAGGTTTTAATTGGACACATGCCCGGCGGTCCCAGGCGCCAGCTTAGCAAAATCTTTTAGGAGGAGAATTCTGTCGGGGTTTCCTCAAATTCCCTCAGCCACTACTCACCCCTCTGTAAAGATGCAGAACAAGTGAGGCCCCTTAAATAAAAATCAGAGGTCTCCAGCAACGGTGGGCCTCTCTCATCACAGTCATTTGGACTGGATGGCATTTGAGTATTTATCTAGGCACCATGACAGGGAACACACAAGCTCAAGTCATGATCTCTGCCCTTAAATAATTCACAATCTTATTAGAGCGGGTGGATGATAAAAGTGCTGTAATGACATCAGAATGTAAGGCAACAATACAGAGAGGAACAGAGGCAATTGCTAGGATGATTTTCCAACAATTAGTACAAAGAGTATGGGATCCCTTCGTATTTTAAAGGAAACTGAGTTCCATGTGAACTGTGTAATATGCTATGATATCTGAGGCACAGGACAAGGGAGGCCCCAAGGGTACTATGCTTTGATATTTGAGTCATTCTTTATTGTTCAATGTGATTTATTTCTGCACGCCTGTTTTATAATAGTTAAATTACTAGAATAATACATCTTGCTATAAAATATTACTAGAAGAGCAAATGATCAGGTGACATTTATTGTTATTTTTTATAAATGAACACAATCTCTGGTATGCTAAAGTGATAGGTATTATAGAAATATTCACACAGGGAGACCTACAGTCTTGATTACAAGTGAGACTTATTATCACAACCTAAATGTATTGCTTAAAAAAAAAAAGCAGGGAGCCAACTAGAAACTGAACCAAATATAAGCCCTTGAAGGGCAAATGTAAATTGGATAAGCTTTGCTATTACAAGAGCAAGAAGAAAAAATTCAGATGCAAGAATGAGAAGCACATTGCATCCACTCTAAGTTGCTGTTAAAGAAAAAGAATGATATACTATGAAAATACTTAACACATTGTGTACCGCATAGAAATCTCTAAGACATACGCCAGAGATCGCACGTTTTTGGGCAAACCGCACGTTACTTAAATCATCATTATGCACTTTAGGTGTTGTTTTTCAATAATTATAACATTTTTATTTATAAAAACAAACAATTAAAGTTCCTAGTACTTTTTTAACGTATGGTACTGCGTAAAACATTTTCCTCTGTGAAGAGGGACCAAACAAAATTTACATAAGTATCTAGATTCGCTCCTTTTTCCATGGGCGTGAAAAACGAGAACACTCGTGAGCGGTCCTTAACAGATGGTGCACAAAACACGAGAAAACTGAGTGGTACGAAATGTGTTAATACAGATTGTAAAGCAGCGGTTCTCAACCTTCTGGCCCTTTAAAACAGTTCCTCATGTTGTGACCCCCAACCATAAAATTATTTTCGTTGCTACTTCATAACTGTAATGTTGCTGTTATGAATCATAATGTAAATATCTGATATGCAGGATGGTCTTAGGCAACCGCTGGGAAAGGGTTGTTCGACCCACAGGTTGAGAACCGCTGTTGTTGTAAGGAGATTTGTTCAAAGAGGATTTCCTAGAGTAGGTAGTATTTCAGTTAATTTTTTTAAATGTGAAGAGGTTAGCTAGATAAGAAAAAGGTGTAGGGGTCCCAAATTGCAGAGGGTGCAGGTGGGGCTGAGGGACCCTCTACCCCCATGCACGAATTTCGTGCACCGGGCCTCTAGTGTATAGAAGAAGTTGCAAAACTGCCATCCTTGTGGTGATAAATTTGTCAGTTATAAAAATGTGTAAAAGTATATTGCATACCTGAAAGTAATAGTGCATGTCAATGTGAATAAAAAGTAAAATGAAATGTCCTTTCTAATCCGTAGAGATTTTTGTACCTGACATCATGTGTTCTTTGTGCAGATAGATCCTCTCCTCTCTCTCCTCCCACCTTCCAGAAATCAATTACTGTATGATCCCACTTACATGTGGAATATAAAAAAAGCAAAATAAATGAAGAAAACCCCCCAGAAACAGACTCATCGATATGAAGAACAAGCTAGTGGTTGCCAATAGGAAGGGTTCAGGGGATGGAAATATAAAAAAGGTACATCCACTAAAAAAAGTTACAACAAAGTGAATACTGTATATATCTTATTCAATAAACATTCATTTAAAAGACTGAGTTATGAAGAAGTATGAGTCCAAATATATTTTAAAGATTTTATAATCATAAAAATGGGTTATATACAGCAGAATATTAATAAAAGGATTCTGGGTGGTAGGACCATTGGTCATTTTTCTCTATTTTTTTATAATTAGAAAACAAGTTATGCAAAGATTTTTCGAGAGACTAGATGTGAGCAAAACATAAATGTTTAGTGAAATGTTAGTAACAAGCTCTTCAGGAACACAGGAAAAACTGACATCAGATTGTTTCAAAACCTCAGACACATTGACATGTGTCTAAATCTACGAGAACTTAGGCGATGTGGTCAGAGCTGACTTAGTTATGGAAAACGAAGAAAAATCTATCAACTTGTCTATTTCCCTGAGAGGAGGATCTTACTCAGGAAAAAGAAAAGAGGGACCCGTGTAACAATCACATCTACCCTAACACAACCCATCCCTCGGCCCCAAAGGAGAAGTTGAAAGACAAACCCCGAAGTTCTGAGTAATTGCAGGTTACATGGCTGCTGAAACCTGCTTGGAAGTGGGGGTCTTTATAGTAAAGGATAATGTGATTTAAACATTTAAAATGCAAACAAGGCTCCTAGCCATGGACTTAGTATCTATTGGGGCAAGTCCACCTTAGAAAAGGGATTCAATTTGAGGATGACAGATGACATAGAAGCCACTGGCCCCACTTACCTCTGGAAGAGAGGACTGGGTACTGCGTGTCTGTTTGATGGCCTCCTCGTAGCGGGGAGGGTCTTTCGTCTTGGGAACTGGGCTCCCAAACAGAGAGTGCTGGACGACAAACGGCTGGGGTGGCGGGGGTGAGCTCGGCTGTGGCACAGAGGAGCACATGTCAGCTCTGGGCAGTAAGCTTCCTCACGCCCTGGCTGTTCCTCACGCATGGACCTCCTAGGCCAGTGAGGCTCTGACCAAAGACCTACCTGTGAGGCTGTCTTCACTGTGATATTTTCAGCTATTTCCCCCATGAATACTGATCTTCAGTCATTCCCAGCCTAAAGCTCTGGGCTTTGGGACGGTCTGTACCCAGAAAGCGTGTCACTGGAGCAGTGGCCGCAGGCTTACCTTGCTGGGAGGGCTCGGTCCGTTTTGCAGGGATGGAAGGGGCGCACTTCTGGACTGGAGAACGCTGCTGGACGTCTTGTTAACAAAGGGCTGCTGGACCGCTGGAGCGGGTGGTCTCTGATATGAAAGAACTGTATTGGATGCCGAGCTTGTGAAAACCTGAAATGAATAAGTATATTCCCATCAGTTTGCCCTTCCTACTAAAGAAAACCATGTTTTAAAACGGGTTGGTTAACTTTTTCTGTAAAGGGCCACAGGGTATACAGTTGAGGGTTTGTGGGCTGTGCTGTCTCCATGGTGACCGCTTCTCTCTGCTGTTGCAGCACAGAAGTGGCCTGGACAACATGCAAATGAATGTGTGGGCGGGCACCAGTACAATTTCATCTACAAAAACAGGCAGGGCTGGATTTGGCCCATAGACATGGTTTGCCACCCCACTGAGCATCAGTAGTCCCTTTGCTCGTCTTTGATGGCAGCATGACAGTATTTTTTGGGAAAGCAGAATTTCCTCAGCATAATTTCCCTAGTAAATGACAGCTGAATTTCTTAATTCCTCACTAGGGTGATCGCATCTATTCTGGCTTTACTGTTCACGACGAAGCTAATGATCCCAAGCCCACCTCTCTTCCAACCTTGCTCCCAAGTGCCAAAGTCACATTTACAAACATAAATTTGGGACATCTCAAATGTAATATATTCCAAACTAAACTTTTCCCTTCTTCCCTCTATCCCTAGCCTCTGAGAGAAAGTAATTGCTGGTTTTGCCTTCATATTTCTTTAAACTTTAGTAAATAGAGCCAGCAGTCTACTCTGCCTCTCCTCAGAGCTCACATTTCTTAGAAATGACCCTTGGATCAGGCCTCTGTTCTTGCTGTCTTAATCCAGGTCCTTATTATCTGCCACTGGAATCCTGCCCTAGCAACCAGGCCAAGCCCCCTGCCTGTCAACCCTCCACAATACAAGCTTAGCACACACCTGACGGAGCTCTGCCACTCAGTGGCTCCTCTGTCTTTAGGGTAAAAGCTAACCTTTGGCTGGCATACAAACACCTTCTCACTACCTGGCCCTTTTCCATGCTACCCGAAAGGCTACACATGCTGTGGCTATGCTCAGTTTTCCAGCTGCTTGGAAATTTCTCCAGATCCTCGCAAAGCCCCATTTAAAATCTGCCTCCTTCTGAGAAGCTGTCTGATCCATTGGGCAAAGCTGGGATTTCTTCCTGTGGAACTAACTGAAAATGTTCTGTTTAGTCCCTATTAAGAGCCAAAGGTTTTAAGGCCTTTTACGAATGTATGGCCAGACTATTGATATTTAACTGTATTTCACAGAACTGGTTTGCTCATAAAAATGTTTAATATACTTTATGCCACTCGTATTCAGAGAGTGAAAAACTTATCCCCTGTATTTTTATTGTAAATATACATAAGTATTTCTTAAACATGAAATTAGGCATGTGTGTGTTTATATTCCTCTAAACCAGGGGTGGGCAAACTTTTTGACTCGAGGGCCACAATGGGTTCTTAAACTGGACCGGAGGGCCGGAACAAAAGCATGGATGGAGTGTTTGTGTGAACTAATATAAATTCAAAGTAAACATCATTACATAAAAGGGTACGGTCTTTTTTTTTTTTTAGTTTTATTCATTTCATACGGGCCGGATCCGGCCCGTGGGCCGCAGTTTGCCCACGGCTGCTCTAAACAGTACGACTTATCTGTCAACACCTCTTTTAAAAGGTTGAATTTCCTAATACTTGGTAAAACATACACAAAAACTTCTTCCTTTAAATTGGGAGTAATGGTTCCTAATTCTAGTATTTTGAGATCAGTGAATAAGCCCTTATTTATCCTGTCTAGATAATGTTTTTCTTTTCCCCTAAAACCAAGAAAACGGTCTCAACATTTAAACATTCACTAAGCTTATCACTACACTAATATGTCATTTTCAGCCCAAAGTAAGTAATATGCAGAACTTCGCATTTTTCAGAGGAGAGTCCAAAAGAGAGCATGTGTGTTCATGTGCCTGTTCTGACCCGAGAGGTCGTTTCTGTCTGTCCCTCAAGCTCTCAGCCCAGACAGCTCACCCCACCCTGGGGCATATCGACAGGTCTATTTAGTTATCTAGGTTCCTTTATGTTAAAGATGGAAATTCTGGGACTAATACTAAGTCTCAAGGTTTGTAATAGTAAGACCTTGGGATTTTTCTGACAAGGAGATGTGCACACAGCGCCACCTACTGGATGGTGGGAAGTCTGGTTGGGGCTATTTAACAGAATTTTTAGGTGGAACTCCTTTAGAGGACAGTGAGCCCTAGATCAACACCATCATTTTAAAGATGAGGAAACTGACACTCAGAGAAAGGCAGTGAACTGTGCACAAGGCCCATCACGTAGCTGAACCAAAATGAGAGCCAGACCCAGGCTATCTGGTTCTCAATCCATGAGATGGCAAACTCAAAATACAGAAACGTCTTACTCAAGAGATACATTTCAGAAAATGTCTTTTTCTTCAAATATCTCTTCCCAGGGAACAGCACCTTTCCCTCTACAAAAATGGTTAATTTAAGAAAAATTTAAGCCCAACAAGATTCTACATATAAAGATTGAAAAAATACCTTTGAAATGTTTACTTAGAAAAGGAGGTGAACTGTTAAGCTACCTTTTAGTAATAAAGAACTCTCTTTCCCAAAAACTTGGATAATCTGCAGACAAATGGCCTCTGACCTGAGGCTCCCGCGGGAGATGGATCGGGAGATGCTTCGCAGCAAGAACACAGCGAGCTCCCCGGAGGAGGCCCCTGTGACGATGCTGAGTGGTCAGGCAGATGCGGGACCAGTCAGCCCCGTCTGTCGCCCTTCAGCGTCACCAACCTTTCTGACTTGCGGCTGACTGAGCACGTGCGGGGTGAACGTGCCTGGCTGCTGGGGCCCAGTCTGTGCCAAGCCCGAGGACAAGGCGGTGGCTGCTCTCTGAGGCTGAGTCTGGACTCCTGCTTGTGGTGGAGTCTAGGAGGCAAAGTAGATAAATAAAAATAAATCAATTTAATTGTCAAAGTCAAAGTTAGAATCAAGAGTTAGGTGTGAGATAACTGGTCATGTGGGGGATCTTATCTAAAATGAAATAAGATAAAATGTTTACAGATATATACTTCAACTCATCAGCACCTAAATTTGAGCCTTAACAATTCTAAACCATAGAGTTAAACACCAGACCAGTTATTTTCATGCTCTTATTATTCCTTAAGTGACTAAGATGTTCATTTGAAATTTTTGTGAGAATAGAAAACTGAAGTAAAAACCTGTAGCGGCTCTACACCTAATAGGTCAGGTGTTACAATGATTTTAAGAGCGGCAGGGAAACTGTGAGGCCTGAGTCTAAATTCCTGCGTTTAAGCTGCAATGCGTCCCCTCTCTGGAGACAGTCAGCACGTGCTGGCACACACAGGTCCAGAAGGAAATGCGGTTCTTCTCCTAAATGTCAATCCTCAGGGAAGATTTGGACAGAATAGTAGTTTAGGAAAGCGACATTAAAGAGCAACTTACCATTTCACAGACTCTAAAGGTGAAATGGGAATTAGGATTTTCGCAAATGCCAAGGACCTGTGGGTTACCTCTGCTCAGGATATCTGGGTGGTCAAGGCTGAGGAGCACCACTGCATGTGGCCGTTTGTTAAAACCCACGGGAATCACGTTACATAAACACCGTAAGGTCAATGCCCAGGTTGCGTGGGCATAGAAGGAAATGACACAGTAACTCCGTGTCCTCAGTAGCATCCTCACTCTAACTTTGGTGGTGGCCTTTTCCTTAGTGCAGGCACCTTCACATCGATGGTGCCTTTCAGGGACATGTGGGAGGCAGAATATAAGAGTGGACATAAGAGTCAAAAGGCTGAGGTTTAAACACTAGCTCTGTCCTTGGGCAACTTGCCAAACCTCAAGGGCCTCAGTTTCCTTATCTAGAAATGGGTTTATCACTTGGATTTTCTGGGGGAAGGGAGGAGGAAATGAAGTAAGCTGTTTAAAATACTTGAGGCTGTGCCTTGTGCATAAGAAGTCCTCAGTAACAGTAGTTATCACGATAATGCCATAGGTATGTAAAAACATGTATGATCCTGTGTTCATTAAAGGTGAAAGGTAACAGAAATAGAAAAGCATCCCCATTTTTTACTACCTAAAAAGAGTGCTGATGTTCGAATTTTTGAATGTCCCCCCACCGCACCCCCACCAACAGTTTTCTGCTTCCGTGAAGCCTGATTTGGATGCATCTGTGAGAAAGCTCAGGTGTGTGTCCTGAGTGTCCATTCCATGTGGGCTGTGAGGCAAGTAGTTAGAAGACAAACTTCACACCTGGAGTTTGAGGCTGCCCACGGGGAGCTGCACGGAGGTGACACTGGAGCCCTGGATGGACACTGGCAGCAGCAGCTGAGCAGTTTGCGTGGTCAGCAAAGCCTGCGGCTGAGCGACAACAGCAGGCGGCGGCTGTCCCTGGGAGCTCACGTAAAACTGTGGGACCACGCTCGGCTGCTCTGCCTGGGCCACAGGGACCTCTTGCTTGATCACTACAGCCTTTTTGGCGACAAGGGTCTGGCCACCCGCAGAGACAGGCTGCCCCACAGAATGGCTGGCTCCCGGGACAGGCTGCCTGGGGCTGGAGCAGTTCGTGAGTGAGGTCTCGTCTTTGACGGAGGAGCCCACACTGCCCTGTTTCTGCTCTGACTGGCTGACAGAATGAGCAGGGGCGCTGGGCTGGGGGTCCAGCGGCCGCCGCTGCTGCTGCTGCCCTCGTTTTTCAACCTCCAGTTGCATTTTCAGAACTTCCACGAGCTTTTGCTCTTGTTCCAGTTTCCTCTTTAGCTCTTCGATCTGCTTCTCTTTCTCCTGAAGCTTGCGATCCTTCTCAGCTGCGTCCAGTTCCAGAGTGGACAGAGTGCTGCTGGTGGGACTCAGGCTGTCTTCGTTACTGGTCACTCTCAAAGGAGATGAACACAAGAACTGGGATGGAGACATCATGGTCATAATCTCGGTGAAAGTGTCGGCCATGTTTGTGTCCTCAGTGCTGAGACTGGACTGTTCGGAGGGAGACGGTGAGATTGGCAGAGGCGAATTAACATTTTCCACGTGGATCACGTTGCTGGTTCCAGCAGGTGGCAGTTCTGCCTTGAGAGGGGAGCCCGAGCTCGTCACACAGTTATGCAGGGTGGGGACTGGCACCGCCATGGTGACTTCTGGGCTAGTGGTGACGACGGCAGATGTCGACACTGCCACGATGCCGTCAGCAGCAGCGCCATTGCTGTTCATCTCCTGGTAGGGTTTCAGGCGTTCGATAAGGTTTGGTTTGGTGCCTGACACTGGAAGACCTCTTAGCTTCAGTTCTGTTTTCAGTTCTGATACCTGGAAGAACAAACAAATCAGCTCTCTTTGTCTGGTATAGCTTTCTGACAAGTCTACAGGACACTTTTGTGGCCAGGACAACTCCATATTATTGCACAGCTGAAAGTGGGGCCATTTCACATTACAGACCTGAGCAATTCAGAAGGCCAGTGATAATAAACAAGGGTTTTTAGAGGGCGATTCCTCTGTTATGTCAAAGAAATGATTTACTACCAGAAATGAATAATTACTATATGCCAGACACTGTTGGAAGTGGTTTATTCTTTCAAGTGATCTTCCCATGCGGTGTTGGTATTATTGTTTCCATTTTAAAGAATAGAAGAAGATCAAGGAAAGAGAGGTTGAATCACTAGTCCAAGCTACCACAGATAACAGACGGCTGAGCTGGAGCAGAAACCCAGAAAGGCTGCCCTGGAGATCATGTTCTTAACACATTGTTTGCGGGTAGTTTTTATCGCACGCTAACAGGTGGCGCGGGCCATTTTTGCTAATTTTTTGCGCAAATGGCAATGTTCAGTAAAATTACGATAACTTTAGTTTTACATATTTTTTTCAATGAAACTTTTTGTGATTTACTATAAAATGTATACTGAATTATTTTTCTTAGAATCGCACTGAATGTGTGGCGAGGCAGAGAATTGTGTGAAGGGATGACTCTACGCAGTTGAATAGATTACCGTTATACCTGGAAGTACATACATAATTCACCATTGTATGTGTTAGAGACCCAAATTTTGTCCTTTGGCATTCGTATATCTGCATGTTAGCATCCCTTTAGAGCAATAAAAAAGTATAAAAATAAACGTATTTATACATTACCCGCATTCTACGGGTAGTCTATAAAAAATGTATTAATACGTGTCCCGCGCTCTACTACCAGTCAGCGTAAAACATATAAATACGTTTCCCGCATACATGTGTTAACTGTTACGTTTCCCTGCTTCTCCCAAACTTGGCAATGAGCAGGAAAGGAAAAAATCTGCCTCTGAAGTCAGAACAGGTATGGTGCTGACACACAGCATATGGTCAATAAATGAGAGTTATTACTGGTCATTGTAATCACATTGTAAAATAAACTTAATGGACGCAAAAGGAAAGTACCGCTATAAGGGTTATCATATTGTTGGTAAAGTTGAATGTATACCGAAAACTACCTGCTAGACAAATCTGGCAAATCATTTACACTTCTATGGTACAAAGGATGAATAGACTCTACTTGGAATTATCACCTTTAAGTCATCCAAGCTGGGAGGCAGAGGTCCTGGCTTCCTCACAGGAGCAGATGCATTCTGTCTTGGTGTGTTAGGTGTGGTATTATTCAAAGCTGAATTGCCACTGTTGTTATTTTTGTCGTTGAGAGGCCTTCAAAAGAAAAGGAAATTTAGAGTTTATAATAAAACTAGTGGTCTGGTGCACAGATTTGTGCACATTGAAAGGAAATTAGAGGAAATTAATTAGAAGAAAGCATTATTCGCCCTTTCTCTATAATAGAAGTGTCAGAGATGAAAGAAAATTAGTAAAATGTATATGAAAATAATATATAAATTAATAAATAACAAAAACATATAAAAACAAAAACATGATATAAAAACATTGATAAAAACAATGACTGATAAGTTGATTAAACTTATTCTAATATCTCCCTGTATACCACATTAAGAGTAAAAACACTTTCAGAGTGCTTGACTAATTTCCCTTGTGATGAAGTATTTACAACTTTAACGTCAGGTGCTCTTCGAACTCGAGAGAAAGCAACATATAACTGACCATGTCTGGAAATGGGTTCAGGTAGGAATATTCCTACCCTGTGTAGAGTTTGTCCTTGTGATTTATTAATAGTCATTGTAAATGCTGGCATCACAGGAAACTGTCTTCGAATTAATTTAAATGGGAGGCCAGTGTCAGATGGGGACAAATCAATTCTTGGAATCAGGACAACCTCTCCTTCTGCAGATCCTATTAATACTTCAGCTTCGATTATGTTAGGTCGCAATCTTGTGATAATAAATCTAGTACCATTACAAAGACCTCATTTACTACTAATATTTCTCAGTAGCATGATGATTACACCTACTTTCAATTTTAATTTATGACACGGCATTTCCAAAGGAGTAATATTATTAAGAAATTCGATGGAAAAATTCTCCTTTTTGGCATCATCCATTGAATTGATGGAATCACTTTCTTTCAGCTTCAGAGGTACGTTATACCAACAGTTGGTCTTCATATACATTTTGTCAATGACACTGGCTTCTTTAGGCTTCAGAGGTACGTTGTGCCAATAGTTGGTCTTCAGACATACTCTGTCGACACTGCTTTCTTTCAGCTTCAGAATGTCGACAAAAACAACCAAATTCACGATTGACAATGACAGATCGAAACACACGCATGTGATTGGTGCCAGTGAGAGCTTTGTATGTATCGCACATGCGCGAGTCAACGTTTATTTTTAAATTGCCAGTGCGTGTCATATGTACCAGCCAGTTGGTCGGTCGTACGGTCAGTCACTTAGCCTTTTATATATATAGATAATGTCTGGATTTGACATTGCTTCTGCTAAAAATTTGACTATTAGGTTAGGAGGAGAAAAATACCATGGTCATGTAACTCAATACGGTAAAGATGTCGATCAAATCAGGTCCCAATAAAAATCCCTGCAGGTTGTGCTTGCTTTGCAGAGATTCAGAAAGTGATTCTAACCTTTATATGGAAATGCAAAGCACAAAGAATGGCCATGGCAGCTCTAAAGAAGAGCAGAGCTGGGAGAGCCATACCACCAGATACTGACAATTATTACAAAGCCAGTTTACTCACATGGTGTGGTGCTGGTGCAAGGACAGAACCACAGACACATCGAGATCAGAAAATGCAGAAACAGACTCCCACATACATCAGCCTTGGGGTTATCACAAAGGTGACACCCACTGCAGTTCCATCAAATGGTACTGGCCACACTGGATATTCATGCAGGAAAAAATACTGCTTCTGATGGACCCCTACCTCGTATCATCTTCAAAAACCTAAATGTGGCCCTAGCCAGTTTGGCTCAGTGGGAAGAGCGCCGGCCTGCGGACTGAAGGGCTCTGGGTTTGATTCTGGTCAAGGGCATGTACCTTGATTGCAGGCTCGATCCCCGGCCTGGTCTGGGGAGTGCGAAAGCAACTAATCAATGTGTCTCTTTCATATTAATGTTTCTATCTCTCTCCCCCTTCCACTCTCTCTAAAAAAAAATCAATGGAAAAATATCCTTAGGCAAGGATTAATAAAAACAAACAAACAAAATTCCTAAATGTGAATTTTGAAAACAATAAAGCTTTTAGAAGAAAACTAGGATAATATCTTCGTGGCCTCTGGATAGAAAATATTTCTTAAACAGGACACAAAAAGCACTAAATACAAGGGATACCTTTAAGAGGGTGAAAAGACAAGTCAAAGCCACTGAAGAAATATTTGTAATACATTTTTTTTCTGACAAAGGCCTCATATCTACCATATACTAAGAGTCTTGCAAATCAGTAAGAAAAAGACAGAAAACCCAATGGGAAAATCTTGGGTAAGCATATCACAAGAAAGGATATCCTAATGATCAATAAATATGTGAACAAGACCTTAACCTCAACAGGTAGGAGGAAAATGCAAATGAAATGCACAACAGAACACCACCACACATCCAGAAGGACTGCTGCTAGACCAACACTGCCAACACCAACTACTTGGAACAGTCAGGACTGTCCCATACACAATTGCCAGAACTGTGCACTGGGATAACCACTCTGGAGAACTATTTCACAGTATCTACTTAAAAAAACCCATGCCTATCCTCTGACCCACCAATTCCATTCCTGACAGACACCTGACAAAGACATACATTTGTCAGCCATAAGATGCAGGCGAGGATATTTATTATGTCATTTTTCATATCAGCCCCAATGGGAAGCAACCCAACTGTCCATCAAGAGTATGATGGGTAGACAAATTACAGTGTACTATTCAGCAAAAATGAACTGCTATTTGCACCAGTGAAGATGCATCTCACAAACAGGTTGAGCAAAAGGAGCCAGACACATGTGTACTATAGGTTTGCATTTATATAATGTTCAAAAGCAGGCAAAACTAATCTACAGGATAGAAGTCAGGATAGTCACCAAGAGAGGACTGATAATGTCGCATGTCTTTCTTTTCAAAAAAATTTTTATTTTAGAGAGAGAGGGAAAAGGAGAAACACTGATCTGCTGTTCTACCTATCTTATGCATTTATCTGTTGATTATTGTATGTGCCTGGACTGAGGATCGAACCCACAACCTTGGCATATCGGGACAATGCTCTAACCAACCAAGCCACTTGGCCAGGGCTAATGATAATGTTCCACTTATTTTTTTAAATTAAATAATTTGTACAATGTCATTTTTTAAAAATATTTTTTTGTTGATTTCAGAGAGGAAGGGAGAGGGAGGGAGAGAGAAACATCAATGATGAGAGAGAATCACTGGGGATCGAGCCCACAGCCCGGGCATGTGCCCTTGACTGGAATCGAACCCAGGACCCTTCATTCCACAGGTCAACGCTCCATCCACTGAGCCAAACCGGCTAGGGCATGTTCCATTTCTTGATGTAGGTGGTAATATGGGCATGCTTACTTTGGCATCAATTTTCACTTATGACTTATGAACTTTTCTGTATGTAAGATATACTTCATTTAAAAAAGTTTTTTCAAAAATGTTGGTTAAGCAGTTGTCAAGTTCCAAAGTTAGGTGCTTTGTACCAATTTCCTTAAAAGCACCAAACTGAGGCCCCCCAATGACTTCTTTTTACTGTGCTACTCCTGGCATTGAAATGCAAACAATGGCATTTTCTTCTCTGGTGGCTGACACCTATTAAAGAAGAGGGGACAGGGTGGCTGACACGGTGCAGTCACCTTCATTGAGGCCAAGGCTTTACCATCATATAAACAGGTACTGACACCAGTGAGACTCTGAATCCCACACTCTGAAAGTGGGCTCTGCGGTGATGGCAGGAATGGGGTGGGGTCCGCAGCTGGATGACCTTTCTCAACTGAGATTTAGGAAGCCTGTGTTTGAAGCCAGTTCTGGCCTTGTCAGCAGCTAACTAACTCTTTACATTCATTTGAGTCTTTTTAACCTGCTTTATGTTTTGTTAAATACTTGAAGTATTTGAAATTAAGTTTCTTGAAGTTTGGATGAAATGACAATTATTTTAAATCTTATTTTTGAATTATGAAAACATTTTATTTAAATCAGAGTTTCTCAACCTTATCCTATATAATAAAAGCCTAATATGCAAACTGTCCCCTCAACTGGGAGTTTGACCACTCACTATGACGTGCGCTGACCACCAGGGGTTGGTGTGGAATACTGTGGGCATCGGCGACGCGCTGCGACCTCTCACCAGCTATCTGGGGGCAGGGGTGACGGGGATGGAGGTGAGGTGAGAATGCAGCTACATGGGGGTGGGGGTGACGGGGATGGAGGTGAGGTGAGAATGCAGCTACATGGGGGTGGGGGTGACGGGGATGGAGGTGTGGTGAGAATGTGAGGTGTCCACCGAGCTTGCTCTCACTCCCCCTGCTACCCTCCTCCGGGGCGCCAGGGCTTGTGCACTGGGGAAGCCCCTGCACTCAGGTGCTGGGCGCCTGCGAGGAGCCCGCCCCTGTGCGGCATCTTCTGGGTAAGCTAGGCTGCAGCCGCCAGGACCACAGGGGCCGGTCAGGCTCCCCATGGGTTCGCATAGGAGCCGGTCTGTGAGGCTGGTCAGGAGAGAGTGCGCTGCCCACCCGGCTTCCGTGTGGTGATGCTGTGTGGCCCAGAGGCCTATGCTGTGCCACAGCCTGTGGCATCTGGCCACACTCACCACATCACCGCGTGGAGACTCGGGCACCATGACTCAGGTGGAGGGGGGTGTGCGGGTGCCCAGGTGCTGCCCAGGGTCCAGAGGTCAGCTGGGACCTGCCCTTCCACGCCAGATGCTCACACTTGATTGCCACCCAGGCCTATGGACCACACCCATGCATGAATTTCGTGCACCGGGCCTCTAGTATTCAATATTGTCCTTGTAAGGAGCCTTTTTAGACACTTCTTCCTTATTGCTCTCCCTATGAAATTTTAATACCATGGATATGATCCATGCTTGTCTATGTATTGTATCTATGTATGGTCTTTATTAAATTAAAAATGTAAGATTCTCTTCAACCAACTTTTGGTCCCTTGTGAATGAAATTATCTCCTTGAGAATACATGATTTCAGTGAATTATTCTATTCATGCTCTTTTTGGTTGAGATTCTACAATACTCCTGGTTACTATGATGAACAATTCAGTATCTAATTCAACCTTTAAAGTAATGGAAATAAATTGACATTGCTTTTCCCAAATCAAGAGGGAAAAAGTGGGGGTTGGGAGGAGACTAATGTGATCACTGTGTGGATGAGAAACCTGAAGCTGAGAGAGATGGCATGACCTTCCAGGAACCTTTAGCCAGTGTGTGGGATTATAGCCCTGTGAATTCAGGCTCTTGCTCCTTCCATGGTACCAAAGGCTGCATTATCAAGAAATACAGGCACTGCAGGACCTCCACATTTAGTTTCTCGTAATGGAGTTTTGGTAAAAAATGTGTTAAAGCCATCTCCATTTCTAGGACCTGGAAGCTAAACAGAACTGATGCTCAGTCTTTGTGTGAGGAAATCGTACTGAAGAACCACGGGCTTGCCTCCTCCTGGTCCCCGGATCTTCCTGTGTGAAGTTTTCCTTGGACGGCTTGGCTTGGTCACTTCAGTGGTGGGAATGTTGGCGGAAGAGGGGGGACTGGAAGCCTTGGGAAGACAAAGAACTGAAGAGTTCAGAAGCTCACTCCTCAGATGTATTCTTCCCATCTACAAAGCCAGTCCCATGCAGTCAGTATCTTTCATTGCAGTAAAGACTATTTCATAGACAGCACAAAAAATCCTTTCATGGGGTTTCAGTTGACCAGTTTCCTCGTCTGGGAATGGAACCAACAATATCAGTCCTCGAAGAGTAACCATGTGGATGATGACGATGTGAAGGGCTGAGCACACTGCCTGGGGCATCGTCAGGAGCACACACACGTGTGCCATCGCTGCTGTTACTATCATGGAGCCCAAGGAGGGTGGAGGCAGTGGGGATACCTCCGACGGGGACAGAGCTGCCAAGTGGCGTCATTCGTTTCTGATGCTCTTTCAGCTCTTGGCCTTCCTGGTCCCCTGCCAATGTCAACAGCTGTCTCAGGCCTGCTTGCTCTTAAAATAATAATACGCTACAAGGTTCTTTCCTCCTTCGTCTCCGTGCCCTGATGTTGTAGATTTAAGTGCTTCACAGTAAAGTCCAAATGACTAGTCTAACCTTCCTTGACATATTTGGTTCTTGAAAGAAAACAGTGAAGTGATAACCATTAGCATATGCGGAAGTCTTTCTTACAGAGAAGCCGCTTAGTGGGTCTGTTTTCCACTCCCCGGGGAGGAATGCTTAGCCTCCTGTAGAACACAAGTCCAGTGTCTCAGATCATGTGATTACAAGTCGAGGGGCTTGACCCAGAGAATAATTTTTCCTTGTATGAGATTTGATCTTTTTCTAGAGTTTCTTTTCCAAGTTGAATCTAAATATCCCTTCCTCCTAAAAAGTGAACAAAGTGAAGGATGGGGGCTTTGCATTTTTACCTGTTTCTCAGAAAAAGCATTTGAGGATGAATACCTGGAAGTTTCTTTTATTACATAATTAAAATAAGCCATGGATGTCTTGCTATGGATTCAATTGCAGAAAGTGCCAGAACTCACTCCCTCTATCCCTCCCAATTGGGCTCAAACTGTGAAAACATGTTTCTTCTCCATGGTTGTTGGTCACAAAGACTTTTCATTCACTGTCTTTTGGGACATCTATCCTGTTCCTTCTTTTCCATTGTCACTGCCCTTTCATCTTCTGGGATCTACTTTACTGCAAAATTTCCAACTGGTTTTCCTATTTCCAGACTCCCCCTCAGTACTGGCGTCAAATGATTCTTTCCTGCATGCTGATTTTACCACGTCAGTGCAGCCTCTGAAACAGCTACCACATCAAACCTAGAGTCGGCCCGATTTCAGGTTCCTGCAGACATCGGCCCTACTCAATTCTGTCCTCCACTTTCTTTAAAAACAAATCATATTATTTAACAGGCCATTCTTCTCACCATCCCATAAACAGGCCCTGCCCTCTGTACCTCCCCTCACATTGTTCCCCTCTGCTTAGAGGGCCCTTCCCAGTTTCAGGCCCTTCCCCACATACACATCCTGCCTTTTTCATAAAACTTTCTTTGACCACTCCAGGTTTTATGGTTCTGCTTTTTTTTTAAAAAACTGTTTTACCAGCTCTTAAGCTTTTCTCATAGCATTTACCACTAGGCAAATCTTTCTTGGATGCGTAATTGTGAAAAGTCACTTCTAACTTAAAAATTCAGAACTGACTTTGGAGGACAAAACCGGGTGGCATGCAGGCTATTCTCACTGTGCTGACTTCAGACACTGTATGAGAAGCCTGATGGCAATAAAATGAAACGGTCATTAAGCACAAATAAATCACAACATCCAACCTTCAGTAACTAATGGATCCTCATAAAAACCACAGTAAAAGCCACTTTAGGAGCCAGCCCCGCCCCAGCCCCATACTTGAGCGGCGCAGGCAGGATGGTCTGGTAGTTGTAGTGCTGCTGCTGCTGGCTCAGGATCTGTAGTTGCAGGAACAGCTGCTGCTGCTGGAGCAGGCGGGCGTAGTTGGAATCCAGCTGCGGCTCGTTCTTCTCACCTTTCTGGTCTGGTGGAATGTACTGGTGGTACTTCAACTTCTTTACCCGTGGTTTGGGGTCTTTGCATTTTTTGCTACGGTGCTTGTCATTTGGATTCTTGGGGTGGCTTTGCTATTTGTGAGAAAAAGGGAATAAGAACATTTTAAGAGATGCCACCACATGCAATCTATTTTACAGTGCCTCCGGATTTGGAATGAAAAAGCAACACAGCTTGGGAACTGGTAGAGCCACCGTGGAAAGCAACATACCAGATACATTTAGAGAGCCAGGAAAACATTCACATACTCCCTTGACCAAGAAATGTTGCTCCTAAGAACTCATTTCTCCTGCTATCTTGTTCCCTCAGAGTACGGGCAAGATGCTCAGCTTAGCATCATCCATTCACATTCAACAACAGTCACTCTCAGTCTTCTGTGCAGACACATTGCCAAGTGCTTCCATATATTATCTTCCAGTGAAAAACACATTATACATTAAGTATACAACAGAAAAAAGATTAGGTATATTTCACTATAACTATGTAATATTTTATAATCATTAAAAAACAATGGAGCCTCCCCAGGGTGGCTCAGTGATTGAACCAGGAGGTCACGGTTTGATTCCCAGTCAGGGCACATGCCTGGGTTGTGGGCTCAATCCCCAGTGGGGGCCAACAGGAGGCAGCCAATCAATGATTCTCTCTCATCACTGAAGTTTCTCTCTCTCTCTCTCTTCCTTTCTGAAATCAATAAAAATATACAGACAGTCCTCAGGTTACGTTGGACTCGACATACATTGTTATGTCGCCATCTCCCATTTATAAAAAAAAAAAGTTCCGTCATTTCGACGTATGTACATATGTGCTTTATGTTTTTTTATTATTTATTTACCTCAAGTAAAGGTCAGGAATTGTCATCTTTCTTTAAAATTTTTTTTGCTGTTTCACTTCATTATCGCTGTGTATGTGCTCCATGTGAGCGCCGTAGGTGTAGGTGCTTATGTAGGTGGGTCCCGACTTACGGCGAAAATCGCATTAACGTCACGCCGTAGGAACGGATCTCTGACGTAACCTGAGGGCCTATTGTATTTTAAAAAAATCAATGAATATGCAAAAACAGAAAAATGCTTGTAATGAGAATCAAGCGGAATAAAGGCTATGCATTTCTATGGAAAGTACAAACACACAAAAATACTGAGCAATGTAAATATGTGTTTAAAATTTTTTTCAAAAATATATTTTTATTTTGAAAATGGTGTGTGAGACCCCATTTTATGATTAAGATTCAGATGACTCCTGAGTTTTCTTTCTCCTCCATTCATAAGTTGCCAGATCACTTTCTACTTTTTAGTATTCATATTATAACTTTGTTTGGGAAAAAAAAGTCCACCAACAAAACAATAAGGTATAATTATTCCTAAGCTTCCTTAGGTAAAATACTCAGTAAGAAGACTTTTGAGAAGTACTACATTAAATATGGCTATTGGTGTGATCATTTTATATGTGTTCTTATTTGAGTTAGGAAATAAAAAAAAAAAAACCAACAAAGAAAAAAAGACCAGAAACCATCGCTATTAATATTTACTTTTTGCCCACAGATATCCTCATGGCAACTCCCTCCCTTCTTTTAGATCTCGCCCAAGCATGCTACTAGGAATATAAACGTCTCTCCTTGTCTGCTCGCAGCCCCAGTCCTCACTTTATCTTCACCGCGAGCCCTCTCTTGTTTTGCTGTGTACCTCTCAGTCCTAATCAAGGTGGGGTGCTTTGTCATGTTTCCTTCACTGCTTCACTGACTCTCATACCCAGAACAGTGCCTGGCACATAACAAGTGCTAGATAAGTATTTGCTGAGTAAGTTAATGATGAATGTGTATGCAATTAGAAATCACTTGAATTATCACTTACTACACATCACAATGTCAGAAAATATCCTTGCCCACTAAAAATCCTCCTGTAATCTCACAATTTTAATCAGTTCATTGTCATGTGCTTATGTTTTTACCAATAATACATTTTATTTCCAGTCTTTTCAAACTGAGCATAACAATGAATGGGGTCTGGGTTTTGGAGTTGTGACTATAACTGTTAGGTAATGTTAAACACTGACTCGACTGCGACCAGGAAGCTACCTGTTGACAAGGGAGGGGACACAAACACAAGAACCAGTGTTCCTCAGACCAAATGTGCTATTACCTATTAGCTGGGACATGTCTATTCTCTCAGGAAGCGAGGATGGGAAACAGCTTTCCTCATAGAAAAAGCCAAACAATTGTGGTCCGTTTCCTAATATGTACCGTCCTTTCCTCCACTGGCAGAGTCCTAGGGTTACCTTCCCAACCCCTAAACCTCACATTCTTACACAATGCCTGCTGCCGCTGAACCAAGGCCCTCCTTAAAGACAGACATAGCGAAGAGCAGAACTTTGAAGAGTAGGAGAGGCAGAGAACAAATTCTCAGTCTCTACAGGGAAAGATGGGTTGGCATTCAAATGCTCTTTGTGCCATTGTGGTACATGCTTCGGGATGTGGGAGGAGGTAAGAGCTGATTTTATTGAAGCAGTTGCCACTTGGCACCCTCTGGAATTTCTGGCTCCAATACTTAGTGATGGTAGATGGTGAACTATATTGCTATATACCCTTGAAGCCACATAGACTCAGCCACACTGACAAAGAGAGCCAGGAGTAGAAAGAGAACCTCCTGTCAAGGACAAGGACATGCTCAGGGGCAGATGGCGATGAGGACTGTGCCTCTGAAGAATCTTGCAATGGGTTAACTGAGAAGGCAGAAAGAGGGCTGGCCTGGAACTTGGGAGACTGAGTCCTTCCTGGCCTGGTCACCTCACTTCTTTGGGCCTCAGTCTCCTCATCTGAAAGGTGGTAAGAGGGTTAGCTGGCTCCCTAATGTCCTTTTTTAGTTTGAGATCTGTGTTCTGCTAGTTTTGGCAAAAGGCACATTGAAATGATTAAACTCTTCCGCAGGTTATCCGCTACCCCCACTTTATTTAGCAGTTCTAAGTACACTTCAAAAATCTTGAAAAATGTACTATAGAGTACACATTTTAATATTCTTTGGGACTTATTCTGAGTTATTTTGACCATGTAAAACACTAGGGAACAGTGCCACAAATCTGCAGCTTATCTGGAGAACAAACCAAGCTTCATTTGGCCAAATCTGCTAAATCAAAAAACCGTGCTTACTTCTTTAAACCTTTAACCTGTCATGTAATATATCTGGAATACCACTGAGTTTAACCTTGTGTAGAAAGTCCAGAATCATGCTACCATTAAAGATCTGTTTGTGAGATTTGGGACTCGCGTGAAAGCACCTGCATCTACCCTGTGTCCCTTGTTCCGTCTTGATGGCCCGGGTGGGGGCAGGACTGGGCACTGCTGATAGAATGACCCCTACACTCTTCCTTGTGGCTCCAGTAGTTTATACACACCATAGTTTGTGCTGTTCTGTGACTGCAGAATAATAGGTCGTGTATTGAAGGTGGTAGTTTCAAATATTAAGGCCCGGTCTAGCAAGTCCTCCCATGCTTTTGTTTTCAAGGCTTCAGGCGAACAGGCAGGCTGGGTGATGTGGACACAAGCCTTTGTCTTACATGTGTGGGGCTACAGACAAGAGTCACAGGATACTCAAACCAGTTTGTATGTGGGGTACCCACCTTTACCAGTGTTGGCCCAGGCTTTGCTGAGGACACAGTGTTTGAGGGGAGCACAGGAGCTGTGGCCCTTGTGGGGGGCTGATCCGTAGTAGCAGGCGTTTTCAAGAATTCAGGAACTGCTGGGGGCACTGTAGTAAACTGGTGGAAAAGGCAGAAAGGGAACAAGTCTGTGAAATCAATGACAGTAAAAATAGAAAAACCAGAATTATAAGGGAATGACCTCATTTAAAAAAAAATCCTACTACAAAAGAAACAAAAGGAAAGTATACTATTATGTTGGAGACCCAGATGGAGGAATAACATGTCTTACCTCCGTAAAACCAATTATTTAGTCTTTGCCCCAATAGTATAAAAAAGCTAACTCTAAATAGGGTTAGATTGATTAAACTATAGTGTTTTCTCAGGAACATGGTCAGAACCGCCCTTTTTTGGCAGAAAAAAAAGTACAAGACTCTTGTAAAAATGGTCAAAACAATACATGGTATTCGTAAGGTTTGCTTGCCATACAGGTCACACTAATCCGGGCTAATTCAAATATCATCTTTAGTCTTTGTTTCAGGGCCCGATGAGCCCTCCACCACACCCAGATCCACCATCAGGCAGCATCTGGGAGAAAGCTTCACTCCTGCAGGCCCACTCCTGCACGTGTTCTTAAGTGTGGCTCACAGCTCATGCTCCTACCTCCAAACCCAACTAGGTATTCATCACCCTCTTCCCCCATCTCTTGCAAAGAAAATATGGCGACTATTTTTGGTAAGATTGACCTGTTTCATGGGCAGCACCCTCACACTTAAAGCAAGAAGTTAATTTGTTACCTGGGCAATTATTCAATTTCAATTTGGGATCATATATTAACAAAGGAAACCACAGAAGGCTTGGCTAGGTTTTTATCAACCACCTAACAGCCTATTCCAGCTAGCACTCTACTTTAAGTATTCATTTACTGGAAAGAGATATTACTATTACAATGAATCAGTCAAATCTTGCCTATTGATTACTACTTGGGTTTACTATTACTAGCCTTATCTTAAGGAAAAATGTCTTTCTTTATCACAACGTTTCCAAACAACTCTCAAATTCATTACAACAATCAAAGGCAGTTCTCTTGTTGAAGTATTTGGGTTTAAAAATAGCAAATTGTATTTTCCCTCCTTAAAATAAATGACCTGAAAAGTCAGAGTGCTATTAGCTACAAGAAATATGAAGCTTGGCACATACTAGATACTCAATAAATATTTGTTTAATGGGTGAATGGAAATTCCTTGTGGCTTTAACTCATGCTAGGTCACACTCTCAAGCCTGCTGGGCCTGTATGTGTGTGAGTGTGCAATTAATTGTGCTGCCCATGTCAACTTTCTGACATTTTTAATTTTGCCATTGATTTCAGTTTTTAAGTAATTATCAGTAACCGTAAGTGTTGACAATAGAAAAGACTTGCTTTTTAAAAAATGGCTACACTCAGTTTCATTTTCAAACAGAAACGAAAGGAAGAACTTATCCAAAGTGTTGACACCTATGCTCCAGGCTGACTTCCGCCCCCAATGGCCCTGCGACGCCAGCTCCTCGATGGACCTCTGGCATGAAGTGAAAGATGCCAGCCAGCTGATCACTGCTCTAAGGGCTAGGGTTCTAAGTTATTTGTTTTCCTTTCACTTTGTACATTTTTGGGAAATGATACTTATCTCTGGGTCAATTTTCACACCGGGGAAAAACATTCCTTGGCTATTAAATAATTGGCATATGAAGTAGCATCAGATATTGAATTTTAAAATATATATTTCCTTGCAGATAAATTCTAACCTGACAGCTATTTTACCAGTCCAGCCCCCACTGGCTGTTTTGATAGTAATGATGCATTTGAGAGCAGTCAGTGTTAATAATCTGAAAAATAACCCAGGAGCATGAATGTGGTGTTAACTGTAACATTTATGGAAACGTTTTGCCTATATGTATTTCTAAACCCTGCCTAACTGACTTCAGCCCTGATTACTGACTGGTACTCCCATCTTCATAGCTCTTTTGGTATTTCAGTGTGACTTTGCTTTCGGAAAACCACAGATTCCAGCATAACACAAGAATAGCTCAACTGAGATACCAGTGATTACCTAATCTGAAAATAAATTCAGTTAAAAAGGAAGAAATAGCTAAACTCTGCTTTACATTTTGCCAATCTGTTTCATGTGCCTTAGCAAAAACCCTCCAAAAAACCTTGGGTCATATCTAGATGTTAGAATCCTAGTGGCTAGAGTTACAAAAATAAAAATAAAAATGTAGATATTAATGCTTCTTTAATGACAGTATTAAAAAAACGATTAAGAGAGAATATCCAAGCAATAAAAAATACACTTTTTTATTTCACAATAGGTTGAGCAATATGTTAAAATCTTAAGAGAATGCTTTAAATGTGCTTAAACTGCCACTGAGACCTAAGTTCACCTTATGTATTATCAAAATTCAGTCTCAAAATGATTCAGAATCTTTTCTCTAAGGAAACAAAAAAGCTGCAAAGTTTGCTTTGTTTTACTGGATCTGATCACTGTTCTCATCATAAGTACTAGGTCTCATGACTACTAGTTCTGTAACTGTCATCATAACGTCATGAAAGGAAATGTCAGGAAACACTGTTGCCTAAGAGTGGATATTTATGTGTTAAATAAAACTCAAAGGAAAGCACTTCCAGTTTTAAAGACTGACCTTTCTCTTACTAGAAATTGCTATGGGAAAGTACTGATACAAAAGAAAAAAACAAGTCAGAGCAAATGTTTAAACTGACTAAAGTTTCATAACTTTTCAGGGTCTAACACTGGTTCCTTCTGAAAAGATGATATACTTCCAAGTACCAATCACTGTTCTCTGGTAAATTCCTTTTTCATTACAATTTCTTTACACAATTTAAGGGGACAAAAACTAGGTAATTAAAGACAAAGGTGTTTTTTTTTTGTACTGTTGATTTAAAATCTATAATTAATGTGCTTTTATTTAAGAATGCAGCAGAGATCTTAATTATGATTGTAATATGCAAATAGATTCAAAATGAAACTATTTAAAAAATATTTTTTCCATATTCCAATCCCCAGACAAATAAAATGAACACTAGTCAGTGAATAAGTTGATTATAAATAAAAACATGTGTTTTGAAAATTTAATAGGTAGATGGATATTTTATGTTTGTATTTAAACATTTCATTTTTAGAGCAAGTAGTTGAACATTAAAGTGAATTAACCCATTAGCACAACATCACCTGAACAGTTAGTTGTTACTGGATTGCCTAATTAGCAGTGAGGTTTTGCATGTATCCCTCTCATTTAAAAATCTATTTTTAAAATAAATTGTGGTAATATACCTAACATAAAATTTTCCATTTAAACCATTTAAAGTGGAGGCGACTGGAGGATCAGGGGAAGGCACTGCCCCCATCAGCCCACTGCTGCTGCCAAAGTGGGCCTAAGCCGTCAGTAGGACATCCTCTGAGGGCTCCCAGACTGTGAGAGGGGGCAGGCTGGGCTGAGGGAGCCCCCCTCCAGTGCAGAAATTTTCATGCACTGGGCCTCTAGTTTGTAATAAAAGTTAGTATAACGCCGATTATTTAATGAATGTATGCATGGCTTACCTATTAGACCTTGCATATTCTCTCTATTAGCTTAAATATAAGGTTTCTATATTATTTGGCAAAAGGTCATCTACCTGAAAGTTACTGATACACTGGGGAAAAATAGTAGATAGTTTACCAAATTTTCCCAAGCTTGTCTTCTTGAAAATGCACAGAGTAACTGACCAACAAGGTTCCTTGAAGCACTACTTTGAATTCAGCACAGGCTTGTCAGAACACACTTACAGTTAAACATCTGTGTTTATAATAATGAATGAAATGGCTTCAGAAATTGTGGAGAGAAAAGTCTTCAGATGAAAAGAACCAGTGTAAGAGCTCCCAGTACCTACATGTGTGGCTAGCTGTCCTTAATTTCCTACAGCTTTCCATTGTTCAAGAGTTGCTCAAACATAAAAGAAACTGAGCTCCAATACCTGATGTGTGTTCCCTTTATGTTTTGGTAAATTCCTTTCCAGCTGTACTTTAATCAGAATTGAAAAGACAAGAGAAAAGTCCAAGGAAAAGCAGTTTTAGTCTCTTACAGACCACACAGAAACACATCTATAATAAAAGCGTAATATGCTAATTAGACCGGACAGAGGACAACCTTCCGGACGAAGCCGGGGCTGTGAGGGCCGAGGCTAGCTGCCTTGGCTGTGAGGGCCGAGCCCCTTGCATGAATTTCATACATCGGGCCTCTAGTATTCAATAACTGTTTTCACTGTTAAAACCTACATCTTAAAGGAAAAACGTGTTGGTGTACTATACTGTCCACATTGCAAGGTTATTAGCATTTCAGCACTGGGGTTTCAAGAGAAGTGCTTGGAAAATCTGTTCTTTACTTAGATATTATGAGTTAAATTTTTTGGAGGGGAATGTTTCTTCTATTTGAATACTTGGCTGTAGGACTTAATCTTCTGGTATCTGTGTTCTGAAAAGAATGAAGGAGACTATAGTCAAAAGACATTTTGGAATAAAGCAAAGCATTAAGAAATCTTGAGCTTAATTTTCTCTCAACTAATTATCTGTAATAAAACTTTTAAAGAATCTAAAAGAAATTCCCTACACTGGCCTTGAACTTTATATTAGGCCAAGTGTTTAAAAAAAAATGAACAGGGAACCCAGCCGGTGTGGCTCAGTGGTTGAGCGTCGACCTTTGCACGAGGAGGTCAATGGTTCGATTCCTGGGCACAGGTCACATGCCCGGATTGCAGGCTGGATCCCCAGCAGGGGGTATGCAGTAAGCAGGCAATCAACGTTGATGTTTCTCTCTCTCTCTCCCTCTCCTTTCCTTTCTCTCTAAAAATCAATAACAGCATACATTTCAAAAAATGAACAGGAAAACTAGAAAAATTCATTTAAGCCATAGGATTAAATGTGCAGGATTAAATGATTAGGCAACATATGTAAAACACTGGTTCAAGTAAACAAGAAGCAAAGTGAATGCTATGCAGTGCTACTCCAAGTATGGTCCGCGGACCTTTGTTACCTGCCTGTGACAAGGATAGGAAGACTAACGGAAATCTGATGTCACCCCACTACTTTCATTGTATTTTACAAGAAAATTAGTCCACAATGCTTTGGAAATTATTACAAACTATATAAAAAACAAACACACACCGGTCTTTCCCTACAGGCAGTTGAACGACCATTGGTCTATAGCAATTAAAGTCACCATCAAACTCTTCCACAGTTCCCATTAAAAACTAAGAATTTCAAGAATATCTGAAATATAAGACATTTATGTTGCTCTTTTATTATCTTTGCCCTATAAGGACTATTTTAATATTAGTAATGAGACTGACTTGGGGGGGGGGTGAGGTACAATGGTAATTTTAAAGCAGGAAAAAGTATATTGCAGAGATCATCTCCTAGGATTTTTCATTTATTAAGGCAGTAAGCACTGCTTGTGTTGGTTCCTGTGTGTTCAGTATGAAGTTACTAAGATAAAATGATGGGACATCCCTGCCTGTTGGAAACTTCATGTCTAATGAGAAGCAGTGTTTTCACATAGGTACTTTCCCCTTGAACTACTATAATGTGAAAGTAATTATATTTAGGGAGATAAATATATTTTTTATATATCAAGTGAGATGCCTGGATAAGTTCTATAAACAACACTAGATAACAGTGAAAATAAAATAAAAAATTTGCCAAAACAATATACACAGTTAACAGAGAGATACTTCTTTAATTACATGAATAAAAGTATAAATAATAAGAATCTTTGTCAGATTCCTTACTTATAATACTACAAGGGAATTTTATGAAGGACACACAAGCCTTCATAAAATTTAAGAAGGCCTCGAGGCATATGGTACAGAAATTACATAACAAGAAAAGTTGCAGTGAGCCAGCTCTGATTCTGGGTTCTTTTACTTGAATGTGTAAGTAGCGAGTGTACGGTACTCGAAAGTGGGTATCTGCCCACAGGCTCAGTTAACAGATAAAGAGCAGACTGTTAATGGTCTGCACACAGCAGGCAGAAGTGGTGTCGCAGCAACACTAAAGCATGTTATAAAAACTGTTTAAGTTCAAGAATGATCTAAGGCAGTGATGGCGAACCTTTTGAGCTCGGCGTGTCAGCATTTTGAAAAACCCTAACTTAACTCTGGTGCCGTGTCACATATAGAAATTTTTTGATATTTGCAACCATAGTAAAACAACGACTTATATTTTTGATATTTATTTTATATATTTAAATGCCATTTAACAAAGAAAAATCAACCAAAAAAATGAGTTTGCGTGTCACCTCTGACACGTGTCATAGGTTCGCCATCACTGATCTAAGGCAATAAATAGAGCATACTTATTTTTTAAGAAACATGGCTATTCCTTTTTTTCCTTCAAGGAATTCTGGAATGTAAGCCCAGTAGGTAGGACTACCTCTTGTTAAAGTTTCTGACTTACAAACTTAGCTGGAGACCAAGTTTCAGGAGCAAAGTAAAAAACCTAATAGTATAAGCCATCCTGGGAAAAGGAGAATGAGTCTGCACAGGTGAACTGTCGTGAAGCCATTACCAGGTAGATGGCTGAATTTTTTTGTGTTACTAAAAATTCTGTGTTACTAAAAGCTAAGGCCATGCTATTAGCGGTCTAATATCCTGACCTACTCAGACAGAAGCAGAAAAGAACCCAAACGGCTAAGTAGAACTGTGTTTTAATGTTATTTACTTTCATACTTGACATTCTTTTTAGCCCTGTTTTTAAAGCTCAAAACCAGAGAACAGCAAATATGTGAGAACACAGTAGGGGCTGGTTTTCCTTGCTCTCCCTTGCTGCCTGCTTAGACCTAGGACCATGGGCTGGTCCCTGACCCATCCATCTTCCAGGCCAGGTTCCAGTAAAGCTGAGGGGCTAGTCACTCTTGCCCTGTAAACTTGGACAGTAGCTACCCACACCACCTTTGATGAGTCCAAGCTGGAGAGGCTCTGTTCTCAAAGGAAGAACACAAACACTGCTTCTGCTAGCTGGATGTTAGTCAGCCTCATGGTACTGAGTTCAGTTCAATGTTTACTGAACACTTTTCCTGAACCAGGGCCTATGCTAGATGTTAAAGACAGACAGACACAGACACACACACACACACGCAGCTCTTGTCCTCTAAGAGTCAAAGTTCTTCTCATAGGCCAGTGATGGCGAACCTTTTGAGCTTGGCGTGTCAGCATTTTGAAAAACCCTAACTTAACTCTGGTGCCGTGTCACATATAGAAATTTTTTGATATTTGCAACCATAGTAAAACAAAGACTTATACTTTTGATATTTACTTTATATATTTAAATGCCATTTAACAAAGAAAAATCAACCAAAAAAATGAGTTTGCGTGTCACCTCTGACACGTGTGTCATAGGTTCGCCATCATTGTCATAGGCTCACACTTTCACATTTTATTTAGAGGCATAGACACAATAACAAAGAAATTAATATAGTTCAGATTATAGTAATTAGTACAAGGAAGAAAATAATGCTGAAAGACAAACAGATATTCATGAAAGAGAAGAAATGCTGTAAGAAAATATGCAAATATTTTTAATCTCCAAACTTCCATACTTCTCTGAACCCAGGCCTCCCCTGGTATAAGAGTTAAGGCAGATAACTGTTAAATTCCTTTCCAACTAAAAAAATTCTATGATGTTAGATTTTAACAAGGACATTTTCTACTGAACTTGATTAATCCCATTAAGTAGCTCAATAATTTTGACTTTAACCCCCCGCCCCCCCTCCCCCCCCCCAGAGCCTAGCCTTTTGCCTGTTACTTCAAAGAAAGCAAGATGGGTAACCAGCAACTCTATTGGAGCCATTGGAGAAGATTCAGCCAGGATTCTCATTCTTGCCATGTCTGCTCAAATCCACATGGTCTGATCTGGAAATATGGCCTCGATATGTGCCCTCAGTGTTTCAGTCAGTACATGAAGGATATAGACTTCATTAAGTTGGACCAGGTAAACTTCCATGAATGGGTCACTTAAGACATCTCCCTTACCACAGAATGCTATCTCTTGTACATGAAATAAAAAACTTTAGTTATTTAAAAAAACACAAAAAACCCCCAAAGCCTAACAGCCATTTTTTAACAGAGGCCCTTCATGCAAACTGCTCTTTATAGAGAATCCTGCACTGAACTGCCAGCCTCTGCACTGACCTGCCAGCTTGTACGGTGTTTCTGCCATCTAAGCCAGCCCTTATAAAGGAATTCCTGGAATCCTACTTCAACCAATAGGACTGAGGCTTTCTCCACCTAATCGGAGTTGTGCAGCTCTGACCAACCAGAGTGGTTCTATTCTGACAAATCAGGACAGTGCCTTTTAAACCAATCAAAATGCGAGGATTTGGAGTCCTCATTTGCATGAAGACAGACCAATCAGGGCAAAGGGGTGGTGACTTCTATCCATATAAGCCAGCTACCCTCTGGCTCTGAGAGTATACTTTCCTTTTTCACTGAACACTGCATTTCCCTGGCTGAGCTAAAACAAAGATGTCTTATCAGAGCGCAGAGTAGACCAGTGAGGACCAGAGCAGAGCTGTCTACCCAGAGAGAGGCCTGGCCTCAGGGCTGCCTTACAGCTATGCTGTTTTCACAGCCAAGCTGTATCACAGTTGAGCTGTTTTGCACTGAATAAAGCTTCCTTCTTTAATACACACCAAATTGGGGATTCCTAATGGGGGTGAATTGGTGTTAATAACCATCAATTGACAACCATAAGGAGAGAACAACAAATTATATACAGCATAGGAGTTCTTATAAAACCAAAAGAAACATGAACACCCACTGAAAAATAAGAAATGTGTATTTCCAATGCAATTATAAAAAATATTTTAGATTCTTTTGCATGCACTAGATTTTCAGTTCCTAATACAATCTGACACATAAAAGGTGCTCAATATATAATTGTTGAACAGGAGAAACCAAGATGGTGGCATAGGTAAACACCGGAAATTGCTGCCTCGCACAACTACTTCAAAAATACAACTAAAAGACAAAACAGACATCATCCAGAACCACAGGAAGGCTGGCTGAGTGGAAATTCTACAACTCACCCAGAACTGGAGTTCAGAGCATTTGGGAGCTTGAGACTCCCTCCCAATTGAAAAAGACTACCATGACCTCAGTTGCCAGCCCTTTCCACATGCATGCGCCTCCGAACCTCTGCACTTTACTTCCACACCTCCTCTGAGTCTCAGTGTGCTTTTCTCTTTCCTTCTAGTTGTAGAATTTCCACTCATACGGGGAGCAACTGGACTGTCTGGCATCGGGCGGAACTTGAGGGCGGCTTTCTCTCAGAGGTGCAGCGATTACTGGGACATTGAGACATGGGTCCTCTTAGGGTAGGATTGAGGAGCAGCCATAGCTGCTTGCTCCGCCCTGTTGACCCCCTGAGAACCCCACTCCACCCAAGCTGTGTGCAGAGGCTTTTGCATATGAAAGGCCTGGCCCTTTGCAATCTGAAAATTACCTAACAAACTGCAGCTGGGTCAGAGAGACCCAGAACTTCCAAAAGAAGGCCCAAGGCCCCACAGCAGCTTGCACTGCTTCACAACTAGGCCTCATCTGGTCAACTCCAAACCCCAAACAAAGAAGAGGAATCTGCAGATCTCTCCATAGCTCCTGCTGGGTAGCCTCAGGCAGAGGCTAAATTAGCACCTCCTTAGAGATCCAAGAGCCAGTGTACCCAGTGGTCAGAATGGGACCATCCAGATTACAACTCCTCAGATCCATAAGGGACACACTCAGGGGGCAGATTCAGTGAGCACTAAAGCCCCACTGAAGCAAGTCTTGCCCCATAAAGTTGTCTCCAGCACAGAAGTTCTCCCACTGCAGACACAGCTGATTCTCACAGCCAATTGGCCTGGAGGTCAATTCCTCCCAGTGGTACCTACAACAATCAAGGCTTAACTACAACAAGACTGTGCACAAAGCCCACAAAGGGGTGCACCAAGAGTGGTGGCTGAGCCACTGGGCCCTATAGGACACCTAGCACAGAAAGGGAGGCTGAGCCACTGGGCCCTATAGGACACCTAGCACAGAAAGCCACTCTATCAACACAGGGAAGCATAAAAAATGCGGAGACAAAGAAACAGGTCACAAATGACAGAAATGGAGGAAAGCAAACTACTGCATATAGAGTTCAAAACCACACTTCTAAGGTTTTTCAAGAATTTTCTAGAAACCACCGATAAATTTAGTGAGACCCTCAAGAAATCTAGTGAGACCCTCGAGGTTATGAAAAAGGACCAACTAGAAATTAAGCATACACTGACTCAAATAAAGAATATTATACAGAGTTCCAACAGCAGACTAGAGGATCGCAAGAATCAAGTCAAAGATGTGAAATACGAAGAAGCAAAAAACACCCAACCGGAAAAGCAAAATGAAAAAAGAATCCAAATATATGAAGATAGTGTAAGGAGCCTCTGGGACAGCTTCAAGCATACCAACATCTGAATTATAGGGGTGCCAGAAGAAGAGAGAGAGCAAGATATTGAAAACCTATTTGAAGAAATAATGACAGAAAACTTCCCCCACCTGGTGAAACAAATAGACTTACAAGTCCAGGAAGTGCAGAGAACCCCAAACAAAAGGAATCTAAAGAGGACCACACCAAGACACATCATAATTAAAATGCCAAGAGCAAAAGACAAAGAGAGAATCTTAAAAGTAGCAAGAGAAAAAAAGGCAGTTACCTAAAAGGGAGTACCCATACGACTATCAGTTGATTTCTCAACAGAAACTATGCAGGCCAGAAGGGAGTGGCAAGAAATATTCAAAGTGAAGAATAGCAAGAACCTACAACCAAGATGACTTTACCCAGCAAAGCTATCATTCAGAATTGAAGGTCAGATAAAGAGCTTCACAGATAAGAAAAAGCTAAAGGAGTTCATCACCACCAAACCAGTATTATATGAAATGCTGAAAGGTATCCTTTAAGAAGAGGAAGAAGAAGAAAAAGTAAAGATACAAATTATGGACAACAAATACACATCTATCAACAAGTGAATCTAAAAATCAAGTGAATAAATAATCTGATGAACAGAATAAACTGGTGAATATAATAGAATCAGGGGCATAGAAAGGGAGTGGACTGACTATTCTCAGGGGGGAAAGAGGTGTGTGGGATGCAGGAAGAGACTGGACAAAAATTGTACAACTATGGATGAGGACGGTTGGGGGGGCGGGTAAGGGCAGAGGGTGGGGTGGGAACCGGGTGGAGGGGAGCTATTGGGGGAAAAAAGAGGAACAACTGTAATAATCTGAATAATAAATATTTAATTAAAAAAAAGAATGGTTAGCAATTTACTTTCCCTTCTAGTCACAGTGTAAAGCACAAGTAAAATTCAAAAAGCATATCTTATTAATTGAATGCTCTCATTACTGTTGCAGTTTTGAATAAACTCACTTTGGATGGTTAAAAAAAAATTATTGTTGAACAAATGAATTCAATCTAACAAAAATCAAGGAGTCAATTAAAACAGTCAAATATCCAAATAGTGTGCAAGACTTAAGGTAATGGTATTACCTACTTGTGGTAAACACATAGTGACTGGAAATCTGTATTACCTTCCTGGAAAGCAATTATTATATCTTTTGCCCAACAAAAGGTTCAAGTTCATTTCCATATCTGGTAATTATTCAGAGAAATAATGAAATAAGTGCTCAACAGTGTATGTATTAAAAAAACACACCAGGGTGTAGCAAATATGTGAGAATACAACAGGGGCTCTTATTGTGTGTATGAGTGAAAAACAGGAACTAAGTCCAAATAACCAACAATGGAAACTGGTTAAAAGAGATGCAATAATTCAGTTCAAGTGAATACTATTTGGCAATAAAAAGTGATATATATTTATTGACAAGGGACTATATCAAACTTAAAAACTTTGCATTAAAGGACACTATCAACAGAGTGAAGAAGTGACACATGGAATGGGAGAAAATATTTGCAAATCATATATCTGATAAGAGGTTAATATCCAAAATATATGAAGAACTCTTACAACTCAAAAATAGAAAAACAAATAACCTGATTAAAAAATGGGCAAAAGACTTTAACAGACATTTCTCCAAAGATAATATAGAAATAGCCAACAAGCATATGAAAAGATGCTCAACATAACTAATCATTAAAGAAATGCAAATCAAAAGCACAGGGAGGTATCACCTCACACCACTGGCATGGCTACTATTACAAGAACATAAATTAACAAGTGTCAGCAAGGATGTGGATAATTGGAATCCTTGTGCACTGCTGAATATGAAATGGTACAGCCACTATGGAGACCAATATGCAGCTTCCCTAACAAATTAAAAATAGAATGACCATATGATCCAGCAATTTCACTTCTGGGTATATGCCCAAAAGAATTGAAAACAAGTCTAGAAAACAAGATTTCCACACCCATGTACACAGCACCATTATTCACAAAAGTCAAGAGGTGGGACCACCCAGTGTCCACTGACAAATGGATAAAAACAATGTAAATCCATACAATGGAGTATTATTCAGCCTTAAAAATAAAGGAGATTCTGTCACATACTACAATATGGGTGAACCTTGAGGATGTTATATTAAGTGAAATAAGACAGTCACAAAAAGATAAATACTGTATGATTCTACTAATATGAAATATCTAAAGCAGTCAAATTCATAAAGACAGAAACTGAATGGTGGTTGCTAGGGCCTGGGGGGAGGAGGAACTGGGAGTTGTTTACTGGATATAGTTTCAGTTTTGCAAGACAAAAACATCTGGCAATCTGTTGCACAACAATGTGAGTATATTTAACATTACTGAACTGTACACTTTAAAATGGTGAAGGTGGTGCCCTAGTTGGTTTGGCTCAGTGGAGTGTCGGCCTGTGGATTGAAGGGCCCCGGTTTGATTCCGGTGAAGGGCACATGCGTGGGTTGTGGGCTCGATCCCTCATAGGGGGCGTGCAGGAGGCAGCTGATCAATGATTCTCTCTCATCGATCAATGATTCTCTCTCATTGTTGAGGTTTCTATCTCTCTCTCACTCTCCCTTCCTCTGTAAAACCAATAAAATAAAAAATAAAATGGTTAAGGCGGTAAAAAAAAAAGGTGGACTTTATGATATATGAATTATATCTAAAAAAAAGTTATGTGAAAAATTTTAAGAGTTACAAACTGTAAAATAAAAATGTGTGTATATAAAAGAAATAAAATGCAAGAATCTATTGAAAAATGTTAACAGTGGTTAGATTACAGGTGAATAGATATTTCTCCACATTTTCAGACTTTTCTTCTGGTGAGAATGTACTGATATGTAAAATACAAGACATATACTTGATATACAAAAAAGCAAGGTACTTTCTCTATTTAGGGGTAAAAACAAGAAGGATGATACCTGGGCTGGAGTGTTTGCAGTCACAGGAGATGGTGACTCACTAACTCTTGGCTCACTTGGGGATGCGGCCGAGCCCTGCGACTCCTGGCTGGCGGGCTGGTCTGGAGACAAAGCATCACTACTGTCTTCGTCAAATGAGAAATCTCCCTGAGTTTGGGGATAGCCTTCTTTCCCAACGCCTAAAGAAAGAAATGATTTGTAACTGATTTTTGCCTTGGAATACCAAACTTAAAATGAAAAAGGAAGAGAATATTGTTTTTTTCTAAGAACGTAGGAATCTGGTTAAAAAAAAAAAAGAACATTATGTACTTCCCGCCACTACCTACTTTAAGTACTTGGGGGGGGGGGGGAATCAAACCTGAATCTAGTCAAGCCTTTGAATCCAACTGCCAGTTATAGGAAGTACAGGAGACAGAAAGTTTTTAATGACACCTGTGGATGCAAATGCATCCAGTAAAATCAGAATGTGGAGATGCCACAGATAAAACCACCACATTCATCAACAAATAAATACAGTGGGGCCTTGACTTACGAGTGTCCCAACTAACGAGTTTTTCGAGATATGAGCTGTCTCTCGGCCCATTTTTTGCTTTGAGTTGCGAGCTAAAATTCGGGTTACGAGCCAGCTTCAGATACCCCACCGCTAGTTGGCGCAGCGAACGTCACAGTGAACGCCACAACATCAGCCCAGCATCACGTGTCTCACTCATTCACTTTTTGATTTGACATACGAGTAATTTGAGTTACGAGCTCCATCACGGAACGAATTAAACTCGTAAGTCAAGGTCCCACTGTAGTAAGAAATGAAAGGAGGAGGAAGGCCCATGTAAAAGATTAAGACTTAAGAGGTGTATCAGCCAAAGGGAACATGTGGACCTTAGTTGGATCCTGATATGGAATCCAACTATTACAAAGCATTAAGAGGCAATAGGGAAAATGGGGCTGGTGACTGGGTATCCTGTTAAGTCCCACTTCATGGAGTGGCCCAGCTATACTGATACCTTGCTTTTGGGAGCCCGTTTCCTTGGGATTAAAAGGAATCATAGCTGATTGTACTACTTCGAATTATGGACTACGAATGGCCTAAGGTTGAAATTCATACTAATGCAAAACAGAAAGTCCCCGTGAGTAATGGAAACTATCATAGTTTTCAAGTAGAATATTAACTTTAAAAAGTTGCTTGCTGAGCCCTAGCCGGTTTGGCTCAGTGGATAGAGTGTTAACCTATGGACTGAAGGTTGCTAGGTTTTGATTCCTGTCAAGGGCATGTGCCTAGGTTGCAGGCTCGATCCCTGGCCCTGGTCTGGTATGTGTAGGAGGCAACCAATCGATGTGTCTCTCTAACACTGATGTTTCTTTCTGTCTCTCCCCATCCCTTCCACTCTCTTTAAAAATCAATGGAAAAATATCCTCAGGTGAGTATTAACCAAAAAAAAAAAAAAAAAAAAAAAAAATTTGCTTGCTGTATAAGTGGCATTATTCTGGAATTTATTTTTCATGCTAAATTTTATACCAGAAAAAAGTGGAAATATTAGTAACAAAGTATGATAAAGTGAGATAAGATGGACAAAATACTACCATTCATAATGAATACATATATACTCATCTCTATTTACCTTGCTGAATAACACAGAACAAGCTATTTTTCTTTATCTTTCTTAGAAGTAAAGAGAACAAAAATAATAAGAACTTTGTAAAAATTTTAAACAAAACAACATAAACTAAACAGTATAGTACAATAAGTCTAACTTAGACAATGTGATAAGGAAATCAGAACTTAAAGACTTAAACCTAGGATGTAAGGAGAATCTCTGTGTTACTGGTAAGAGATGCTATTCTTAACAGTATCTAATATACAGTTAGCCCTCTGTATCTGTGGGTTCTGCATCCTCAGTTCAAACAACTCCAGATCGAAAATAGTTCCCCAAACGTTACGTTGTTGCTGACACGTGCTACACAGTTAGGCCTAAGATGACTGCCTCTGTAGTGAACATGTACAGACTTTTTCTTGCCATTATTCCCAAGCAATATAGTTTAACAATTATTTACATAGCATTAACATGGCATTAGGGATCTAGAAGTGATTTGAAGTGTATGGGAGGATGGTAGGGAGGTTAAATGCGAATGGCATTTATATACAGGACTCGAGCATCCAAGGATTTTGGTATTCATGGGGGGTCCTGGAACCAAGCTGCCTTGGATGCTGAGGGACGACTGTAATAATCATCATGGAATCAGTGCAGGTGTTAATGTCTAACCCACTAGAAAACAATACCTATGATTGGTGCTGGCCTTTAAAAGTTAATCTGTTTTCTCTAAAAGTGCCAAGCTTTTTTTCTCCCAGAATAAATTTTTAAAGTCTTGCCTATAATTGCTTCCTTAACACTGGAGTCTACAGGCAGGATGTTTTTCTCCACCAGCTCCATAGGACCAGGTCTCTGAGCAATCTTTTCATTCAGATCATCAGCTAGGCGAGCTCTTTTCAACTTCATCTGAGTGGCCTGCAGGGATGGCTCTGCAAATGTTTCTAAAAGAAGAAACAAAGTTTAAACCATTACTTGAATTACTATCTCTATTCCACAATGCTATTTCAGGCCAACTAATTTAAGTTAAATTGGTTTAAACATATTGATGTGTTCTCAACATATTTATGGAAGAAGAAAATGACTTTTTAAGACCGTCCCGGTATATATTTTATATTTTTAGTCCTGGATAGCTTTATACTGCCTATACAATATGGATGCCCATTGACTCACATAAACATGAACTTAAGCAAAAAGTGGGGTACTGCTGTTGTTCATTTATGGCAAGAGCGGCATATTCACATTTATTAGGTATCAGGGATACAGAGGGTGAACAAGACAGATGTGGTCCATGGCTCAAGAAGTTCACTGTTTTAGATTTGGCTTCATTGGAAAGTCAGTTCCTAGAAGGAGAGACACTGTATCTTAGAAATCTGTATTTTAGGATATAAACTTCTCTGCAGGAGTCAATGAGAAGAGCTTCAAATCACATTCTTGTATTGATCCCCATGTGTCACAGAGTCAATCATCATAATTAAGAATTTGGGTTTATTTCTGCATACATAAATAATCCTGTGTCTGTTAGAACATTCAATTACTGTACATAGTAATTAATGGTCATATAAAAGCATCAGCTCATCTATTTACAAATAAATGAAGTTTTGAAACTATTATAAACATCATAACTTGTTCATTTGCATAATTCTGTCAATTACTTGTGTTTCCCATAACTCTCACTAACATTTTATTACATTGTTCTAAATAATGTTTATAATTGATTAAACATAATGATGAAGTGTTAATGCAAAATTTAGAGTTGAAAGTTGCTTGCCTCTTAAATTATACAGAAGGTCTTTTAATGAAAGTCCCCATAAGCATTCTCAGGATTAACTGATGTTCTTCATTTTGTAGGTAAAATGTCCTTGTTGAAGCCCAAAGCTCACTGCAAGTCCGAGGCCGATAAACTACTCTGCGGCACATCTGAGTGTAGCTGAGCCCTGAACACCTCGGGGGTTTGGTGTGTTGACTCCCCCCACAGTCAAAAATCTACATATAACTTAACTACTAATAGCCTACTGTTGACCAGCCTTACTGATAACTTAAACAGCCGATTAACACATATTTTATATGTTATATGTATTATTCACCGTATTCTCAGAATAAAGTAAGCTAGAGTAAAATGATACTAAGAAAATTTTAAGGAAGACAAAATACATTTGTAGCATTCACTGAAAAAATCATATATAAGTAGGCCTGTACAGCTCCAACTCATGTTGATCATGGGTCACTGCACTTATCTTTCCACCAGTTGATTTATATGCTCACCAAAATAGATTTATTGTCCACAAAATAGTTCATATCTGTCAGGATTGCTAATGCCAATACATAATATAATTAGATGTTATGAGGAAAGACAAAGTTCAAAAATAGAATGATTATTACTACTTTCAACAATAAAGATTTTTTAAAAAATGTAAGAACAATAAAAAAATAAAATACTTCATAGAAACCTGTACAAATGCTTTGGAACAATTTGAGAAAGGTAAATCATTAAAAAAAAAATCACTGTCAAATTAGGGCAGTTAATAACTGTAAAAGATTTGGGGGAAAATTGTAAAATCTAGGATTTAAAAACTCAGATTGCTTTTCAAGTGTCTTAAAGTTTTTCTTCCACCATAAATGGAAATTGTAGACAATGTACAATGGTTTTGTGCTTTATGCAAGAAAGATGAAGTGAACTCCATTCATTAAAGCCTTCCCCAAAGTGAAGGTCCTAGCCCTCAGTCAGAATTCTGGCAAATAAATGCACGTCCATAAGTTAAAATAACGTGTAGTCATCTCATTTTTATGATTTTGCATATAACTAACTGTGGCCCCTATCTTGTTAGATAAAACACTTCTAACCATACAGGATGATCGGTTGTGAGAATTAGATCATGCACTCTTTGACTGATATTTAAATGCTTCTGTTAAGATTTAGGTCAGTGGTTCTCAACCTGTGGGTCGCCAACCTGCGGGTCGCGACCCCTTTGTGGGTCGAGCGACCCTTTCACAGGGGTCGCCTAAGACCATCGGAAAAACAGATATATAATTACAGTGGTTCTCAACCTTCCTAATGCCGCGACCCTTTAATACAGTTCCTCATGTTGTGGTGACCCCCAACCATAAAATTATTTTCATTGCTACTTCATAACTGTAATTTTGCTACTGTTATGAATCGTAATGTAAATATCTGATATGCACGATGTATTTTCATTGTTACAAATTGAACATAATTAAAGAATAGTGATTCATCACAAAAACAGTATATAATTATATATGTGTTTTCCGATGGTCTTAGGCGACCTCTGTGAAAGGGTCGTTCGACCCCCAGAGGGGTCATAACCCACAGGTTGAGAACCGCTGATTTAGGTAGAGCAGTCTTCTGCCTTCCTCTTCTCTCCCATCAACACAATCTTCGTGATATCAGGAATATGTTTGGAAAGAAACTATTCCAGAAATAAATACTCAGAGGCTGGCATTTCGGTATGTTTCTGTTCCTAGCCTTATTACCACCTCATTTCCATTAGGCTGAGGCTGGATTTTAGCTGCTAAACTTCAGAAAACAATTCAGACTTTTGCCTGCCAAATATCAAATTGGGATAATGTTAAAATAACTTGGGGGTGGTTTTAAGGCATTTAAAAAGTATAGATGACACATTTTTTCTTACTTTAAAAATCCCAACTTGAGTACAGATGTCCTAAAAACATCACTTAAGGTTCAGTCATGTACATGAGTAGGTTTTTAAATGTTGGGTAGCCTTCTTTATAAAAAGCAAATATGATTTCTTTTGACAGCTAAATGTATTGGCCTTGGTTTTAATTATATTAATAAAGCCTGTTACAGTTAGGGGGTAAGTTGAAACAGGCAGCATTGTTCCTCCAAAAATGCCTCTTATAGGTTAAGATGTCTGCAGGCAGAGAAAGAGCCATTTCCCTAGTCACTTAGCAGTAAATTACTTCTTTGGAGGTTCACTTATCCCTGATAGCTGGTAGCTGCTCCTGCCCTACCACTGGAGTTCTGGAAATGCCTTTTCAGTCCAGTGGACTTCTGAGAACACAACCTGAAGAGTTTATCATCCAGGGGCTATCACTTCCTGCCCCAAATATGAAGACAGTCACATAATCATAGATTCTTTGGACCAGAAGAGACCCGACTTGGGGTTGTAGAGGCTAACTTTATACTTGGAGCTTCTTTACAAAATCCTTAACGTAGTGTCAGCCTGTACTTATTCTCACAGCAGCCTCTTTATTCCCTATAAAGCACTTTTCTGATTGTGTAATTCATTTATTTTGTCTGTTTATTTGTCTGTACCATTAGAATGTAAACTCCATGAAGACAGGTTCACTTGTTGGCCTCTGGTGTCTGGCTCACTGGCCAATGACTAAACACCTCTGATCACAGCCACCATGAGGCTTCCTGAAAAGTCTGTATTTGGACATACCTGACCTTTAGGGTATTATTCCTTATGTTGAGCCACAACCTAATACTTTTTACTATTAATGTCAACCTAATTCTCATGTCAACCTAATTCTAATACTAAATCTGTCATCAGGCCAGAGAGAACAAATCTAATCTTTCCTCTACATGATAATTGTGTCTGAATATTTGAGGAGTTTTCAGATTCTTTCTGTATCTTCTCAAGTTTTAACATACTGAAGACTATCACACGGTCAAGCTCCTAGTCTTGCTCAATAAATTAGAGAAGCAAAATAATGAAAGAAAATGTAACTTGAGAAATTTATGGTGGTGATACCAGCTTTCAAGAATGCTCTGTCTTCAGCCACTGTGGAAAACAGTGTGGAGTTTCCTCAAAAAATTACAAATGGAACTGCTGTTTCACCCAGTGAGCCCACTACTGGGAATGTATCCGAAGAACCCCGAAACACTAATAAAAAAGAATATATGTACCCTGATGTTCATAGCAGTGTTCTTTACAATAGCCAAGATCTAGAAAGAGCCAAAGTGCCAATCAGTAGATGAGTGGATAAAAGCCCTTGTGGCTCAGGTGGTTGGGGTGTTGTCCTGTATACCAAAAGGTGGTGGGTTCGATCTCTGGTGGGGCGTGTGTGGGATTGACATTTCTCACCCCCCCCCACCTCTCTCTCTCAGCTGTAAAAAAGAAGCTCTTTCCTTCTGTGACAGCATAGATGGACCTGGAGATTATTAAACTAAGCGAAATAAACCAGTCAGAGAAAGACAAATGCCATATGATCTCACTTATATGTGGAATCTAATGACCAAAATAAACTGACGAACAAAATAGGATCAGATGCATGGAGGTATGGAACAGACTGACAGAGCTAAGAGGGGAGGAGTGTGGGGGTGGGGGAATAGAAGAGATTAGCCAAAGAACAAAAATGCATATGCGTAGCCCATGGGCACAGACAACAATGGTGAAGGCCAGGGAAGAGTGGGGGACATGTGTAATAGTGCCAACAATAATAAAAAAAGAATGCTATGTATCCAGAGAGAAAAATATCCTGGCCTTAGCCATTCGTCTCATGAAAGATGGAATAGAACCATCCCTACCAGCTTCATAAGTGATGAGGCCAGATGGAGAAAATTTGCTGGGCTGAGTGGAGGGTGTTTAAGATAATGGTTAAATCAAGCTGGACTATTGTGGGCAAGTAGCAACAAAGCAATAATGTTAGGTGTGGACATTGTCCCACGCAGACATAACAGGGAAATCTATGGTTAGACTTGTGGCCATTGTACCCTTTATGACTTAATGAGTGGGCATATGTCCCTCTCTGAAGAAGAAATCCTCTGGACTGAAAAGTTTTTCCAGGACAGTATGATAGACACCTATGGTACCAGCTGGTGGGGAAGAGTCCGTCCATCAGTAGGCTATTTGGAGAATCAAACCTTTCCCATGTACCTAACATAACTTTGGGTCTTCATGTTGCTATCCAATTTGGAGGATGTCAGCCTGTGGGGTAAAAGTTATTAAATGGGAATAAAAAGAAATGGCGGCATTCTCACATAAAACAAGCAGAAATAAGATTGTTACCTTCTAAAATGTGCATCCTGACAAGTTCAGAACGATCTGGTCGACTTCGAATCTTGTGCTTCAAAAAGTTTTCAGTCTTAAAAAAAAAAAGAGATAATCTTGCCATAAATTGATTATGACTTATTGTGTTTTTACATATTTTTCTCTCAAGGTACTCCATTTAAATTAATTGATACCCTTTTGGTCATGATTTTGAGAGGAACAGAAAAGTAGAAATTAGTGCTTTGAGAAACTATTATCCAATATACGATTTAAATTGCAGCCTTCAACATTGTACAAGGACATAGTATATGCTGGTATAAAGTAATCAAGTTATAGACCTTTATTTTAAAACTTGGGAAAGGCAAAGGCTCATAATTTTTAAATTGATTTTTGAACAGACATAAAATTTCGAACATTTAAATATCTAAAAAAATCTAAACTTCAGATCAAGTAAAAAAATCCACCTAAATAACAATTTACTAAAATTTCTCATATATTTTCTTTGATGAGTTCATATCCTTGATCAGATTTTCTTATTCAGAACTGTACTCAAACAATAGGGTTTTATATTTTCTAAGCCTCTAAGAGATCATTATTGCATCCTGAGAAAATTCTAAAGGAATTTTTGTCATAAAACATGATAGAAGTTATCCCTAAAACAAAAAGAAAAAAATGTGCATATTGGTACTTTTAAAGAAAAATAATAAATATCAATTCGGTATGCAACTATGATGGAGTCAACTCAAAGAATAAAACAGAGTGGCTTGTGGCCATATTCTTTGATTTGGTCAGATTCTCCTACCCTTGGTCACAGGTACAGGTAACACAGTAGGGTCTATGTCCATCTGCTGGGGTAACAATGGCAGAATTACTTCATTATTATTCTGAAAACTGTGGTTATGCCCTGAAAGCAAGTAAGCAAAGAAGTATGATTTGTCCTGTATGTACAAAACTAGACACTAGTTTTAAAAGAACAAAATTTGAACGTCATGTATTTTCTACCAATTTCGAAGATAAAAACTACCCCAGGATATATTACTCTATATGCCATGTATCCTGCAAATTCACTGCAGTTCCTCTTTTGACATATTTAGGAGTAAGACTGCTACTTGTCCACAGGTGTTTTGAAATGAGAGAAGCAGAGAAGTAGAACATTTTAAAGTGAGATTTCTTACTCTGGCTCGTTCCAAGCTTTTTATCTGCTCATGGAATGCTGCTGGGCTCTTCAAGGCTGCGAGAGGAAAAGAAATTGGTTCCGTAGCATAAATAGAGGAGTTAATACTTCAGTCAAACATTACAGTACTTCTTGATGTTTCTTCTTAACCTTAGTAGTTCACATCTACAGTTCCATTTATTTACTAGTTCCTTTAGGAGATCTGCAAAATTTGGAACCTTAAGTGTTTCATAATTAAAACTATATATTTCAGCCCTAGCCCGTTTGGCTCAGTGGATAGAGCATCAGCCTGTGGACTGAAAGGTCCCAGGTTCGATTCTGGTCAAGGGCACATTTCCAGATTGCGGGCTCGATCCCCAGTAGGGGGTGTGCAGGAGGCAGCCGATCAATGATCCTCTCTCATCATTGATGTTTCTATCTCTCTCTCTCTCTTCCTCTCTGAAATCAATAAAACACACACACACACACACACACACACACACACACACACACACACAAAACAACAACAAAAACCCCCCACACTATATATTTCATAGGAGCATTTGAGATCTTGTTCTCTGGCATACATCATCAGTTTAGCTCAAATAAACTCTTATAAAAATTTTAAAAACTGTATGTAGTTCACAAATAAAACAAGCAAACTTTTAAAATGAAGTTGTATACATAATGACAATGCAAATATCAGGTTAGATTAGTTCCAACCAATTGCTGGGGCAAATTACCATCACCAAGGGAACTCTGATGATTCCTTGACAGGACTTTATTGGCCATATAAGCTACTGGAAAAAGCCCAAATGTCCTTAGAACATTTAACCTTGAGTGATGTGACCTTGAACATGAGATCCACTGTACTTCATGTTGTACAGATCTATCATTTACTGAGAACCCACAACAGGCTTAGCTCAGTGCTCTGTGGTCAATCACAATTATATTACTATTGATCATCACAACAGCCTTGCAAGGTAGGCATTAGCCCCAGTATAGACTCCAAGAAGTAAAATGAATTCTTGAAGTCATATAGCTAGATGGTGATCAAAGTGGGATTTAAATCTAGAATTCTGAATTTGAAAGGTTCATGCTCTTTCTACCACACCACAATGCAAATCACTCTAAAGACATAGTGATTCTTTAATATGTTAAGTGCTAGTACATTAAATATTCCAGAATCCCAAAGTGAGGGTAAGCAGTGCTTATTTACTAAATCCCTGCCTACTGCAATATTTCTATCAATTATCTTTGCAAAACCTTTTGTATGTCCACCACTGTCTGATAACACCCTGCATTTAATGACTACAAGCAGTCAGATGATGTGGGTGAGATATAGGACTAGGCTCACTTAGGCTGTCATCTCCAAAAGTTGGCCCATCAACTCTTGTAGCATTACTGTTGTCAGCTCTGGTACTTGAAGCACTGCAAAGACTCCTAGCAGCTAGTCCCAACGGGTTTGGCTAGGGACCAACTTCTAAAAGCAGGGACCAGCTTCTAAAAGCAGACTGGCTTAGCAGTGGTGTCTTAAACATCATAATTTGTTCCTATTTGACTGATCCTGTTCATAGTCAGGAATGTAGTGGTGAAGAAATCTGGCAGATTATTAAACCAGCTTTGACTCTGTCACAATGCTAGCTTAAAAATATTTAGACAATTAATGGTCCAGAAAAAAAGGTTTCAATGGGAAAAATCTACTGCAGAGCAAAACTGTTCCTTATAAACCAAAAAAGGTAAAATCAATGATTCAGAAGACTGGGAAGCATAAATGCTTTTTGTAATTTTTTTTAAAGCCAAATAAGTTACTTCTTGGAGAAATCAACTTTTAGAAAAAATCCATATAAATAATCCTAATGGCCTACATAAAACCACCACTCGTCCTCTCTAAAATATGGGTTCATCTTCAAACTTGGTGATTAAAGCTAAAGAAGACAGCCTGGACAAATATTCTAAAATTAACCAACTCTCAAAAAATGAAGGACTGAAGCTTAGAGATAACTAGTTGGAAAATATCTGTACTCGGGCAAGAAAGATTTTATTAATTATAAATAGAATATTTATTAGTCCTGTAACTAAGACACATTTAATATTATAGCCTATACTATAGCATAAAAGATAATTTAAATTAAATAATTTAAAGTATAATAAGGTTTTGAGTTAATTTTATATGCTACTTTTGCAAGTCTAAGTAACACTGGATCCATTAAGTAGCGATTACTTCAATTAGTTAAAACTAAAACAAATGTTGCAGTTTGAAGAACTGATGTTAGCCTAATTACAGAGTTTTAAAGGTGTTCCTTTGTATAATATAAAATTTGAGTCCAATTTTTAAACGGCATCGAGTTTTTAAAATGTGTTTTAAATAATTCCCTTAGGTTGGCAATGCTGAAGCCTGGTTTTTCTTATAAACTCATCTGGTAATTATATATTGATTACATGGGTACAGGTTCTTCTTGGACATGCCCATTGTTATGTTACATTAGAGATGACAGACACTCGAATCTTACGTGGCATGATGCCCTGGTCCACGAGCTGTTCCCGCGTCCGCCTCTGTTGCAGCCTCAGCTGAAGCACTGTGAAAAGGAAATAATTACCATTAGAGTTCAGAGGCAACTGCAAGAGGCAACTTTATTAAACATCTTCTAATTCATAATGGAATAGAAATACTACCTGGCACCATCCAATCTGTAAAAAGAGAATCAGTTCATGATTTCTGCCTGCTTGGTGAACTCTGACGTTCTCTCAGAATACTTTGTGTTAAGTTAGTTAATAATGTTTATTTGCTGAATAAAGCAAAGTATTTGTTGTTTAAATACAATCACATAGTACTCAGCAAATAAAAGTAATTGGCTTATATACTGTCTTATTTGTAGAAATATGAGATTCCTTAACATTCCTTAGTTTTTTTTTTTTTGTTGTTAAAAACTAGTTATAGCAAAAATGTATTTTAAGGAAATATTGAATTATTTGGAGGGATTTACTCTATCTGGAACAAATTTTAAATAGCTTTAATGAAGGTCAACTGCATAATAAAAGTTAGACCCATGAGATATTACTAACAACCCAAGGGAAAATTTCTAAATTAGGAATTTAAAGTTTACTAATCTTTGCACAATACAAGACACCATAGCTCATTCTACAACTTCTAAGAAAGTCACAAATTGATCGACACCTTATAATTTTAATAAGAAGAAACAAATAATTAGAACTTGTAAAAAACAAGGTATATCACAAAATGTGTATACTCAGTTTGCCAATTTAATAAAAATAATTTTTTGTTCTCAATTTCTTAAGTGGATTCCTTTCATAGCATTTCTATAATTTTAGCTGGAAAATGAGCTAATTTTAAAAGAGGAATATATGAAGCAACTTTAAAAAAATTTTCCTTAGCTTACCTTACATTAAATTTTAAGTTTCCACTTTTATTTTTGTTTCAAAACCTTGATGAAAACCAAGGTTAGGATTTTAAGTATCTGCTTAAGGTTTGTCAATATGCAAATAAATAAAAAAATAATAATAAAAATTCCCATGTGTTTCTTTCTTTTTTTTTTGTTGATCCTCACCCAAGGATATATTTCCATTGATTTTTAGAGAGAGTGGAAGGGAGAGGGAGAGACAGAGAGAAACATCGATGTGAGAGAGACACATCGATTGGTTGACTCCTGCATGTGCCCAACCAGGGCCGGGGAACTTGCAACCAAGTTATGTGCCCTTGACTGCAATCGAACCCAGGACCCTTCACTCTGTGGGCTCTATCCACTGAGCCAAACCGGCTCGGGCCCCATGTGTATTTCTTAAATGTATGGAAGGAAGACAGAGAGAGTTTTCTAGCAGGGGGTGAAGGCTGCAACAGGGCTAGCTTAGACCAGTCCCTTACCCAGGCTCAAATGCAATGCATGTGATGGCTCCTACTTGCAACAAACCTGAGGCCTGAAGACAAAGGGCCTGTGGCCCTCATAGCCTTTGCTTTTTGCTTGCCCTTGTGCTGACTACAGAGCAAAGCACAATCGTAGGTATATTTCAAAAAGAGGCTAGGGCTAGGCTATAAAATAGCTTTTAAACATTTTTAGTTTCATTGCTAGATATGAATGTCTTCCTTTATTAAGTACAGTGGGGCCTTGACTTACGAGTGTCCCGACTAACGAGTTTTTTGAGATACCAGCTGTCTCTCGGCCAATTTTTTGCATTGAGTTGATAGAGTAATTTGAGTTAACGAGCTCCTTAACCAGCTCGGTCTCGGAACGAATTAAACTCGTAAGTCAAGCCCCCACTGTACTGAAAAAAATGTTTTTTGCTTCTTTTGGGGACCATTGGATCACAAAGATTCATGACATCCCATTTAGAATTGAAGCAACTGACATAAGATTCTATTACACAAGCAAAAGCAAAATTTAATAGTAAGAAAATGTATGCACATGTTTCTCACATTAAAATGCTTTGTGATATTTTGGATCAATTATGCTCTAACACAAAGATCTTTTCCCTGATAACTTACAGTTTATTGAGGATAGTGTGTTCCCACTGTACTTTACTAGGAACAAAAATAACCAAAGAGTTGACCTGTGAATCTGATAGCACCCAAATGGCTGCATACTCTAACATTCTTCTAAAGTTAATGCTTGTCTGAAATTAATGGTCATATTCAAGAGGTAGAATCCCATATTCCAAGAAAAGGAATACTGAGAGGAGAAAAAGGTCAGAACAATGTCCAGTTCAAAAGCTGACACTTCTGGAACACAGTGGTCCACATCTGTTGGAGAATCTCTAGCGGTATCTTTCTTTTCTCCCAAGGGAGAGCTCAAAGAAAGGAGTAAAATATAAAGGGTAATGAAAACATCAACCCCCTTCTTTGGTTTCAAACAAACAAACAAACAAACAAACAAAGCACCAAACTTTTGAGAGAAATGTATCAAACACAATATATATTTTTGGGCGATGGTGTCTTGGAATGATGGATACATTTGCAACCACTTGATGTGCAAACCAACACTGAAGGCAACAGCTTGTTAGTCTTGAAGCACCTCCTGATTGTACACTCGTCAACTGCCCTGATACACCTTGACAAAACCCTGCCAACTGTATCATCTTTGATTAGAAATCACACTTTCATGCTGATGTGTAAATGTATCTGCTACCACAAGGGTAACACACAGAATTAATGCATGTCACCAATCATCAATTGTTCAAATAAAACAAAACCCAAATGCAAACCAATTGTGTTTCCCATGCAGTTTGTTTGATGGCAAAACAATCAAACTTATGCCTTACCATCAGAAGATAAGAGATCAATCTTCCCAATCAATGCTCTCATCATTGCCTATATAATCTTCCCAAGAAGTAATATCATTATCTACAAAGCAGTATGGCAAGCAGCCTTCCTAGGCATGTTCATTTACTAAGACATTAGGAAGAACATGAATGGAAGAAGAGGAGTATCACCAGTCATGCTCTTAGGACTGTTGATGACCTGCTTGATTTAGTCTTAATCTATCAAAATAGGTGGGCAGTATTGGACACATTCTATTGAATATGAGGCACAATGCACCATTAAGAGACTGGGTACATTGCCACTTTGGATTAATGTTAAAAACAATTATAATATTCATTTATATTAAATATAACCAGTCACTCATAACCTGATAGAGGCTCTTCTGAGAACAACAAATGGTTATAAAAAGTACCCATCAAATAGGGACAGGCTCATAATTAAGGAAAATATCAAACTTCCATTTAGTACTTCCTCATCACATTCATAAAAATTCAATATATAATAAATAACAACTGATATCTGCATCTTACAGAATGCTGAAGGCTGGGAAGAACAAGGCTTGAATGATGTAGACAGCTCACTGTCCCACAACATGGGAAAACTAGAATTGGGCAGAATTTGGCGATGTTTATCCTGTACTGTGAAGGGAGAAGACCCTCTCTTAATGATCAGAAACATTCGTGGTTGTAGAATCAAGATTTTTTATGAAGTTTCTCTGGGACTTATATATGAATGAAGCCTAGAGATCTTCTTCCTCTCGTACTAGCCTCCACTTTCATGTCTGCACAGAGGCAGGGAAGGCCCAGATCACTGCATGCTGCTGCGCCTGTTGCACAGTCGTCATTTCTTAAGAACAGTGAATAAACTGGCTGATCTCTGGAAAACCTGACACTGCCTGTGTTGGTAAGATTGCATTTCTAAAAACTAAAGACTAGGCACTGGTCGAGCACTGCTTTCCTGCGGTGGCAAGTGGGTGGTGATGGTAGTACAGATGCCTAAGAAGACAGTTTCCTGGCAATGGCCTTGTGTCTGAAAACTGAACCCACGAGCAGGGCTGACATAGCTTCCACCCGAATTAGTTAACTGACAAAAATCCAGCATCCTCCATGGCCATCTTGCCAATAATTACAAGTCTATAGAATTCTCAGGGAGAAAAAAAGTTCAAAACACTCAGTGAGCAGCTACATCTTTTCAGAAAACAAGGACATAGTGATAGGGTTGAAAGAGAATTCATGTTATAATTGCTCACATTTGAACATTTAAGTTCAGAATTCTCTAATAGTTCTGTATTTCCTGATTATAAAACTCACAAGAGGCATGAAAAGGGCCCTCATCAATAGATGAGGCTCTAGAGCCACTTGCTGACCATGATATATGTATCATCTTTGAAATTATAGATGAGTGAGACTATAAATACATAGTACTTTATACCCATTGCATTTAGAGATAAAAATTTTAATTCATTATTGGATTTTTCTAAGGTGATGTGTCATTATCTCTTAGGGCTAATATTCATGGTATCCTATTACATTTCAACAAAGAAAACTGCAAATAATTTTGAAAATTCTATTTAGTGTTTTCTTGGTTAGAATGGATAAAAACAATATTGTGTCAACAGAAGTGCTTTTGAGCTTGCTCTTTTTTTTATATAGGAAAAGTAAAAATTTGATTTTAAAGACCATTTTAAAAAATGAAAGGTAGCTTATCTAATGGTAAAGATAAAATGTCATTCTTACTCAGCATCATAAATAGTTCAGATATTTAAAAGTACCTACTTTTAGTTCCTTTCTCCTGCTTCTTAAATGGTTTAAAGTGCTTTTAGAACAAAATCTTAGGATTAGTCTCCAGTATGAAAAACCTTAAAATATCATGCTGTCTTTCACATAACTTATACCCACTTCAAAGTTTCCAGCTGCTTAAGTGAATAGACATAGAATGATACGTCTATTCTTTTTTGTTTCTATAAGTAGAATGTTTGGAATGTTTCCTTAATATGATGTAATTAAAGTGCCTTTTCACTCTAAAGAAAAAAACACCCTATTATGCAATATTTTAATAGTAATATATAGCGATTCAGCATGAATTGAATAAGCCAAAACAAAGCATAGTTTTGGCCCAGGTTTGCAAGGGGACATCTGAGGACTGTATATTATAAAAACAAGGCAGAAATGATACTTCCTAGGAAGCAGAATGGCAGGCAGCCATGGTCTGAAAACTCTTTATAAATAGCTAGTTATGGGATATGAAGGAGGGTGGGTTGAATCAGTTTCAGGCCAAAAACAGAACCTGATTTCAGTTATTTTT